TATATATATATATATATATATATATATATATATATATATATATATATATATATATATATATATAGTAATTCAACTGGTTTAATGATTTTTTAGTTGACCGTGAACTTTCATATTGTAACGTGAACGTGAACCTGCCAAAATATCATTAAGCTGAAATTACATGTATATGATTTTTATCCCTATACAGAATCTGGGCGCGAAAAATGCAAATACCAAACTTCCCTGGGCCTGTGAACAGTGTTCTAACAACCTACTTACTCTATTGAGTTCCGAACTCAAACAAACACTATTGGTATAAGTTTTGAAGCTCACATTATTTTCCCCATGCTTAAACCATGTGAACGGACGTAAGCGTCTCTTGCATTTTAACTTCGGGGAAAATGCGTTCTTGAGCAGTGGGATTAATTTCATTATCTTAAAAGGATGTAGTATGCTTGTGAGATACAAGCCAAAGACCTACAAAGAACAAGGAAAGATTTATGAAAATGTAAAACCATGTGGGTCTACGATCATTTTAAAGTAACCAAGGAGAAATAATTCACTCTCAAAGCGCGTTGTTTCTTTTGTGGAAACATTTGTATTTTTGAGGTTGGTACATGTAGCTCGTTATCGTAAAAGCTGCCGGTACTACGGTTATTTTACCTTGGCACAAACATTGCCTTATAAGTCGTATATTTCTAACAGTCAATTTACCAGGGACCCTGAGGAGCAATAGCCTGCTGCATTTGCAATTTGATTTCATTCTAAAACACTTTTCTAAAACTGTCTTAATCGAAACTGCCACAATAAAACTATTGTGTAAAAATTCAGCAATGCGATGATTTTCGACTGTGTGGCTTCATTCAGACATCATTCAGGTCCATTTTTTATCAGTTTTAGAAAAATGTGCTTTTTGAACAATTAGCCAGTTCTTAAATATGCAGCTAAAGTCCGTGGTCACACCAAGCAATACAACACGATTCCACCGTTCTTCCGGATGTAAATTCAGTACAAAGGCTAATTATCTAAAACATTGGATCACAATAATTCTTACTCAAAACAAACATTTTATGTAAATATTGGCACAGATACTGCTTTATTAGCTGCCACGACAAAAGTAACTGATGAGTTCTTGGTAATAAACGTGCTTTTTTTTATTTACCGAACACTGTACCTAACATGTAGCCTGATATTGTTTGACAAAATGATTTATGTCAGACATGTACAAACTGAACTCCAGCACAAAGTTACATTGCTAAAAATTCGAAGAAATGATTCTTCATAACATAGGAGAACATTTATTACCTGCTTTTCCATATTAACAAATCTAGATAATAAGAAAAAATGTAGGTTGAAACCAGGTAAGGCGCATTTGCACGAAATGACCACTAATTAAATTTGGTGTCTATCACGAAATAAGAGCCCGAGGGTCGAACTCCTTTTCTTTGATTGGACTGAAGCACCTCACGATCATCAGTATTGATCTAAGACTGCCTCTTATACAATGCATAAATACCTGAAGATAATCTATTGCCCTTTAAGTGTTTTTCAGGAAAAGGATCTATTTGTCAGTCAAACCCCATGGTAAAGTCAAAAGTTATTTACGAGGTCAGATAAGGAATCTTTTCCTAGCTTTTTTGTTTGTTCCCAAATTAACCCCTCGGTCATGTAAATCTAAAATAGACATTACTTAAGTGACTAATTGTCCATATCAAATAACGTAAAAACCAAAACGTCGAACGGTTTTGTTTCGTGTATGAATGTGCCAACTATATGTAATTCATCACAAAATTCACATGCTAATGTATACTGTGGACATACTAGTACACGTACAAAACGCATCGAACCCAACGATTAAATATTAAAGAGAAGAATAGTAACAGGGTGCAGGTGCATACCCTTGCCAAAGAATGTTTAAACCCAGATGCAGGCCTGGAGATACCCTACCGGTTGTGGTAATGTACGAGCGTGAACAAAGTTGGTGTTGATGAGAAATGTTTAAATGAGTGACATCGACAAATTGTGACAAAATCATCCAGTTCAGACGGAACACGCTGAATCGTCTAAAAGCCTTCTTTCTTATGTGGAATACGACCGTAAGTTTACACAATAGTTCTTCTGTCACCATCGCAGCACGACAGGTATTGCACTTAAATTACTCTTTAAAGTTAGTAAATTGCAGATAAATTGCAGTTCCGACTCTACCTCCGTTTCTCGACATTGTGATTTTATTTCGACATGGAAACCGTTTCTATTTAAATGCGAATGCAGCTGCTCCCAGAAATCGCAAAAGCCACAGCTGTCGTTATTCAAGAAAGAAGAGATCTTTCAAAAGATGCCTGCCAGAGTTATGACAATTGTGTGAAACTCAATCATCACCTGCTTTAGCGGAATAGCAATCAGAGATTATTAAATGATTAAATGTATCACAGTAAGGGAAATATCGCCAGTTCTTGCAGTCTGCTACGATCCACTGTCAATCGGAACTTTTTCCTCTTAGAACACAGTAAGTCCTGGTTCCATTTCTCAATGCCTGCCTCTTGACATTTCTCATAATTCACCTTTATTAGAACATGGCACATCAATTATGAATAAACACCGCTCCTCCAAAGAAGGCGGAACAAACCAGTTCACCATGTCGGTGATGTGAAATGCAGTTCGCCATACATGCAATAGTTCGTAATCGTCAGTCGCCAGTTTGATGACTCTCATATACTTCCTAATCTTGTCCTGAAATTAAAAGATGCATCGTTGTGATATGTTTTTAGACTTCTGCAAAAGTCATAACCTTACATCTACTTCAACGACGTTTACCTTCTTTAGAAAATACTACTATGTCTGCAGAAGTGCAATTCCATATTAACCCTAGGTAGAAAAGTATTAAGAAGTCATATAAGGTGTAACTTTACTGTTTCGAAAGTCGTCCCGTCTACAGTAAAACTCTGCGATTGTAAATCCAAGTATGCAAAGGAAAACCAATGTTACAGCGCAGCACAACGAAATGACGATGGACAGCACATACGGATGCATCCCCCCAGGTTTTTTGACCTCTTTACTTTCCAAGGTAATTTTGATGGCGCTCTCTGTACTGTTTGTTTGGCGACTGTAGTTGTAAGTGTACATCACAGTAGCACTGTCTGTCACGCCCAGTCCCTTTTTCATAACACATGAAAAATCCGTTAGATTGCAACACGATGAACAACTGGCGAGAAGTGATGTCGAATTCATCCCTAACGGTACCCAAAATGATCCATTTTCTCCGTTGTCGTGGAGCATTGCAAAGAACCCAAGGGTCGAGTTCATCGTTATACGATGCCAGCCAGGCTCAACTTGCATCACAGCCGTGGAAAAATTCTGCCTATTTCCCTGACATATTTCCCATGAAATCCCAGTTTGGACAAGAGGCAATGTGTCAACAAATAAATTCCCTTTCAGTTCTTCGGGAACGGCAATATAAAGAGAATAATTGTTTGGTGAGGAACTCGGAGTTGCGTAAACATAGCTGTTACTATAGAGATTTATCGGCATGAGGATGTTAGACAAAGGTCTTTCAGTCGGCATATGTTGCATGGTGATCTGTACTGACGCGATAGGCGATACGGACTCTATCCAGATGGATTTGCCTTGCTGTAAATGCGTGTCTCTGAAATCGCTTTTTTCTAGAGCAAAGGCTTCCAACTTGCCTTCCGTTGTTCTAATGTATATATCAGCATTGTCCTCGATTGCTGAAAGACAATATGGTTCAGTTTTACTCTGGATCTGTATACGAAAAGCGCGGTTTTGTAAATGATGCCGGACAAAAGCCGCTCTCTCTGGCTTAATGACTATATGTTACTTGTAGGAAATGGTAAAACGGTTACTGATGGTGTTATGCACAATCGTTTCTTAACGTGAATTTTACAATCCCTTGTTCTGTAAAAGCTGCACAACCATACATTCTTACATAATGGTGAAACCGCACAAAAAAAGAACACGTGCAATTTCCCCTTACTTAGGCTGCCTTCATTAAGAAAAATGACTAATATGTTATCGAGGTGCCTAGATGTTGAAAAAAATCTGAATCTGAATTTTCATTCCACCCTTTCTCCTGTTAACTTATACTAAACTAGTTATTCAAACAATATGCATGGTACCTTTACCGTTTTACTTACCTACTACTCTAATGATGACACTAGTGTTTGCCACAGGAATTGTCATGAACTCTGTACCCCAACTGCATGAAGGAAGTAGTTGATCCACCATCACCGAATTCATTGTATATACTCCGCGATCAGGAATAAATTCTCCAAAACCCGCCAGCACAGTGATAGGTTTACTGGCTTTTATGAAGGTACCAGTCAAATCGTCAGAACTTCGAATCTGTAATGTCTCATAAGAGTTAAGTGTCTCAGAGATACAGTCTCCTTCTTTATATATTTCATTTTTGTACACAATAGAAATATTTCTGTTTGTGGGAAGCTCAAATTTTATGTCAGTTTTGTCTGAGATCGCCACGACACCAATGATGGCCATGCCATTTAAGCTGTATAGATATGACACGACGCAATAGTTTGAGTTAATTGCGTCAGTTGGCAACGCAAAGTAAGAGGTTCCACTTGAACTACAGATTGATCTCACGTGTAGAACGATTACTTCTGACGATTGCACTGAAATAGCTGGAAGAAGATTGATATATTATACATCTGACTCAGAGAAGCATGCGACGCGCTAAATTCTGTTTCTGCTGGTTTTAAGATGAATAGAAGGCCGTTCTATTGTATTTCACCTCCGAAACAGTCTCCCTTTCTTTTGGATATATTAATATAAAAGGGAAGAAAAATACTCAATTTTATCTCTGTTACCAAATTTGTGAGATGTTAATGGCAAAGAGTTTTAAGAGGAAAAAAATATCGGTAGGGGATACACAGTTTTGTACAGCAACGCTTATATCCAACAAAATTAATACATTTTTACACTACACTTGAAATCAGAAACCTCGTAAGAAAATGGTGATGGAATACACAACCAAACTCACGCACGTACTTTCCGTTTTAAATTGTATTGCGCCAATAACTACTAGTCCATACCTTTTCTTTCTCTGCTACTCCCTGTCATATGGAAAGATATTGGTACAGGCACGCGTATTAGGCTCCCTCCTGTCCCCACGCCTTCATGTATCACAGCGGTCTTCGAGGACACGTTCACCGTCAGTGTAGTATTCACCTGGGGAGTAATCCACAGCTCCAAGCTGCAGCTTGCATGCGCCTCCAAGAACCCAACGATGAAATGTGTGCCGCGGGAGCTAGTCTCGCCTGTAAATGTTGATATGACAAATAAATGCCTAAAAATGATCAACATAAAGAAGAACTTCTTTTTCATATAAATAAACATTCGGTCTTTCGTGCGTAGTAGATGTCTCGACTGTGTTAACACTGAAGTCCGTGTATATCTTTTGAGCTAATTTTGCTCTCCTTTGCCACGCACATCAGTCTGAGGCTCTGATATTGGTGTGTAAATCAATGGTTACAAGACAGCACCGATACTAATGGTAATAATCCAGAGGTTAATCCCTGGTTTACAAAACTCGAGACTCTTGTCGATGAAAGGATTTGGCAGTTAATAGGGCCGAACACGAAGTGCACCGTGAGAGAGTAACAGCATTATGCGTCTCTCCGACGTCAAGAATGTCCGTGAATACGCCCAAGGTATCATTTAAATTTAAAAAAGCATTTTTTCATTATTGATATGTGCTGAAATGTTTGTAATTTTGAAAGAAATATAACTTTTGCAATACAAATGCTTTTTTCTATGAAATTGGACAACTCAAGCCAAACTCAACTAGAAATTTTCCAAGGAGAATAGTGGTTTACAATATCATTCCTTAGCAGATTCGTGTTGCACCTGGCACGCGTCGACTCCTATAAGGATAACAAAGAGCACGATTGTTTACGGACGATTAAAACGTTTCTACGTTCACTTATTCAGTTATTTTTACGTTTGTTTTTTTTTCTTCGGCAGTTAATGAAGGAGAAATGTTAGTCGACTAAAATACACCATTATGTCATTACTTAATTGTGAGTGCGCGGGGCATGAAGTACTTTGCTCATCTCTCTAAGCTACATCGAGGGTGACAGTATCTAGCACGATATTTCCCAAGGGCTAACATTCCATTAAGGATTTTGTGTGATGTTTTCAATGCAGTCAATTTCGAAACTACTTTTTTCCGCAATGAATGGTCGATAATCTGCTGTTTCAGCCACCCCGTTACCGCACTGTTCGTCACTTAGGGCTAAAAGCTAATGCAACTGGCACATCTGGGGTTCAAGAGAGGTACACGTGCTTTCTTTCATTGCATTTCTCAGTACAACTGCAGATATATAGGCATAACAACGAGGGGTCACTAGCTCGCCTTTTGATTATAAATTATTGTTGAGATGCTTAGGGCGTTGCCCTAACAGAGTTACAGGAAACTTCAATAAATCAAAGAAACACGTTGAATTTAGACTAGGCAAAACTGAGGTGGTTAACGACCCTTATTTTTCAAATGGAAAAAATATTGAGCGTTGGTATAGTAAGTAGGAAAAATTTACAAGTGACCCTAGGAAACACCTTATCGCAGCTGTTTTTATGATTGAAAAGCACAACTTAGATTTATTTGCCATTTCCTTCCCCTAAGGTAAAAAAAGACTGACAGTAAAATATAGCTGCTAGAACTGTTATATTATTAATGTTAACAAACAAAAAAATTAATTCCGTCTGCTCGTTAATTAATTTATTAATTTTGTCTGGCCTTAACTGACAGAATATATATATATATATATATATTCTATATATTCTATATATATATATATATATGACAAGCTTTCGAACTGGCAAGAGAACCCGAAATTAGCTCAATCAAGTAGGCCCATCAAGTTAAACGCGACAAGAATTGAGAATTCACGCATTAAACACATCACAGTTACATATGTTGTTCAAGATGTTTGCCTTATCTTATCTTGGCTGTTACTATTTAAATTTGAAAACTTTTTCGGAGTATCTATGTTGAAATACCTCAAGGTATAGGTAATCGTATTAAGGAACGTTGCATTTCCCAGCTAAAACAATTATCTCTTGTTAAGTGAATGGTTTTGGAAGCATTTCAGAGGGGCAACGGTGGAAAATCTTGCTTTGAAAGGTATACGTTACAATTAAGCAATTTGTTCTATCCTCCGGACCTTTCAAAAAGTTGTTTGTCGCTTTTACATAGGTTTTATCTAGCGATATAATTACATTTGGTCTCGTCTACAGTCGATACGCTCCAAATCCTGTAGTCAGCTTGCTGTAACATTCCTGTAATTGTTTTATCTTATTCATAATTAATTTCCCACGAGCCCCACTTCCCCCTTAACTCACTTAACTGCTTATGAATTATTTGTAATTGACGAGCATTTAGTTGCCGCCCAGCACTCGTAAGCAGACGGCGGCCATTTTTTTCAATTATTTCCCTGACTCGACATACTCAACTCATGCACGTCTTTGAGTCTGTACCTAATGGAACACGTTAATGTTGACTCGGTGGCGTGCTGGAGATTTGGCTGAATAATTGACTGTGTGATTAAGTCATAGCACACAGCAAACTTTTTCTTCTTTCTGAGCCAATTTGCAAAGCCATGGCTGAACAGCTAGTTGTCTTTCACCACAAATGTCAAATTTTCTTGACATTGGGTATGACACTGGTACCTTTTGCAAAATTATTTAAAATTATTTTCTATATAGGCCTACTCATGAAACAGTTTTAAAATACCATAACATTGTGATGCAGTCCATTGCTTAGTGATGGTACTGAACATAAACGCCCAATAATAACGCTCAGAATTTTTTCAAAACACCACTACCTGTTGGTCCTTTTTTAAATGTTTGACCAAGGTGACAGTAACGCTACAGAGAGAGAGAGAGAGAGAGAGAGAGAGAGAGAGAGAGAGAGAGAAAATACATCTTTCAAATAATGTCAGGCATACATCTAGGCACCACAGCTTTGATGATTCATACTTATGTACTCCGTTAAACTGCTGATGTAAGCTACGCAAGGGACCTGGTTCATAAAAAAATCTTAAGTCAGTTCTTGGCCTAAATCGTATCCCGCTAATACTTAGCTGGCTAAGCTGCGTTTCATAAATTATCTAAATTGCGGCTTACTTGGGATTTTCGGTCTTAAAACTATGTTCCTTTTGCCAACTGGGATTGCCTTGACCGCCATTTTTACTCACAATAGTGACAAAAACCAATTCCAGTTTGTCTAGCACATTGACTGAGGGCAATACATTTCTTAGGACAAAGACACAAAGTTGAATTAGTGAAGTAGGTTATCCCAGCTTTTAAAGAACTCAAGACCAAGAACTTAAGACTTTTTGCCAAAACAGGGCCAATATACGTGCCGCGTTGGGGCCAGAGGTCTGGCACTGTCCACATGGTCCCAATGAGGCATCCATTTTATTGGGTTGTTGTCCAAAACCCTAGAGCCGCGAGGTGATTAAGTGTATATGGTTTACGCACATAGAACACATGTATATACTAACCGAGTACCAAATGGCCAAGAGAAGACAGCAAAGCGAGTAACTTGATGGAATCTGAAAATAAAACAGCGTAATTCTCAAAATTGCAATAAGAACAAATATACATGTATTAAAAGGTGTTTTAGACACAACCAACTGTTATGTAGTTCTAAAAGAGACTTAATTATTATAAACATATACAAAGTATCCTAGCTTTAAACTACTGCAATTCAAAGCTTTTCACGTGTTTTTTATATTTTATCTTTTATTATGGAGGGTAATGTCCGCTACATCAAGAATGTATGGTAATATGTTCTTGGCTATATTCTTGGTCTGAAACTACGTGTTTCTTGTTATAATCTGAAAACGTCCAAAATCAGTATGGGATAACATTGGGCGTTTAATTTCAAAACACCAAACCAAATTAGAGTTCATCAAGGTGGAGTCGGACAATATGTTGCTCTTCGTGGACCGTAAAGATTCCAAACTTGCCACGTGCAATATCAGATAGTCATCCGACTTCCAGGGGCAAAAAGAAGCCTCATATAACACGCGAACGGGTGGTACACCACGTGAGGTCAACGGGGGCAACAAGAAGAACCTCACCGGAATCCACACCAACCTTAAATGGCTTTCTTTGGATATTTCATCGTTAGTTTACTTAACTTTTTACAGGCATCCATATTTCATCTTCGTGCAAGATTAATTAGCATTGATTTTCCTTTTAAAGGTGGCAAAAACTGATGTTGATGATAGGTTTCAACAACACTTAATCACGCTATGGCTATTTAATTGAAAACTTAAACCGCAGCGTGGTGTATGCCAAAGCGTGGTGTATGTCGAATGAAATCTATTTGTTTCTCAGAACGCCAGTCCTGTTTGGAATCTGAGATGATCAGCAAATTATATAAGTGCGAATCAATTACAGATAATGGCATCTCATACATGAACTGAAAATGTCAAGAAAGGAAATATGCAGTATCGCACATTTAAACCCACCGAATGATGAATATTTCAGAATATGTCATGGCATAGAAACTTAAACATTCATAATCGTGATCGGTTGATGTAATCCCAACACATACTGTATGACAAGGCAATAGCACAGTTTGTGAAAATGGGTTTTAAGTAACAAAAAAAGATTCACTGACTGCCAAAGAGTCGCTTACTCACGCAAATCGATGTTACAGCATTTATCAGAAAATTACACATGTAGCACAGTTTGTCTTTAAAATTCCCATTGTGTAATGCACATATTAGAATTGTAATTGTTTCATTGTATTTCATGTATTTTAGGTACGCCATAGCCTATATTTATACTGCGCTCGAACCAATAAAGAATAATTATAACATTAATTGACATATTTTAGAAAAAAACTCATCGCCGCACGACTCCCACCACGACTGCCTTTTTTCCTCATTATACGTGTAGATAGATAACATTGTTTGCCAATGTATTTATTACTATTTAGCACAGATGAGCATATAATACCTAGGCGAATTGTTTTCTGTGTATAATTATATGTTATTATAAATGTACAATAAACTTTTGCTTGAAAATGGTCGTTGCTCTTTCTAGAGGAGACAGTTGCATTTAAACTCTTGCGCGACAAGACACTTGTTATAAAACGTTATTGTACATGTATCACACCTAGACTGGATGTGTGTCGTGTTTAGTTATAGCATATTTCCCTTTTCCGAGCATATACATCCCAAACACGATCTGGTTAAAGGGATCTCGCAATCAGATATTCCACCAGAAACGAGATAAACGTTTCGACCAATAACTTTAATTAAACGGAGATTTATGTTCAGCCACAGCTCACTAACTTGTAATAATTCCGAAGAAAATGTGAGCGTGCAGACAGTGCGGGTTATCTTTTTCAACCATTTGTCTTTTCGACTGGCTATCTGAATGGAAGAGATGAAGGGAGTCCTTTCGTTATGTTTCACCTTTTGCATTGCATCTTATTGAGTCTATAAGCTGATAAGAGGCTTTTACGTATAGAAAAACTATTGAATATTGATGATGTGCTGGGAATAACGGACAAACTGAAAAATGGAATATTGGGATCAAGTTAGCTAAATGCATGCTTAAGACAAAAAATATTTTTTGCAAAAGTAAGTTTCACCATGTGATTGAGTTACACGTCAAATATAAACATGGTGTATTATTTCTATTGTGCAAATAAACATATCAGAAATTCTATTCAGAAACGAATGTTAGGTTTTCAAAAATGATAAATAACTTTCTGATTAGAACCGTTTCAAAGGCCCTACTGTCTGCACCCAAATACGTCAAAACGATTTTACCAAGTCCATAAAAACACTGTACTAGAAGATGACATAATGACGTTAAGAAGCCTTTGCTTTGATGTTCAACTCAAATATGCGAGAGTCTTAGACATGAATGGTTTTATCTTTTAGCAAACTTCCTCTGCTTTCAATAAAGCGATCCTCTTGGTAAGAACAAATTCAGGAAGCCATATTGTGCCGTGATCCCCATGGAACTAGATCCCCTTTCTTTTGCTAATTCTGATGTCACATTGTCCAGGAGATGGACATAAGGATATGGGATTTTGAATCTCGCGCGAAAATGACTCCGAACATGGTCCCCAGTCAATCAAATACGATATCACATAATGGAAGCCGAACCACACACGCAGGTTACACCAAGATGTGGATTTTTTTGTTTGTTTATGAAGTTGTCTTCTTTTCCTGGTTGTTTCACCATCAAACATGATTGTGACCAGTGTTAATTTTTGGAGTTAAACACACCTCTGCTCTGTAAAATTGCCCAGGGCCAACTGACTGACTGACTGAGGAAGATGCTCCGTGGCATTCCTTTTATATGTCCATGCAGGTAATCTGGACAAGGGGGAGGGACGCTTGACCTACTCAAATTCGTCTGTCGTCGCCGATACCATGTTCTCACAATGTGATATGATGGCAACACGACTATATTGCTAGGGCCTTGCGTTTTTATGTTGCTAGGGCTGTGCGTTTTCATGTTGACCTTTAAGGCAATCAGTCAGGTTCTTTTTGCCTTCGTTTTGTCATCGTGAGGACGATCACATCGGATGGCATCACGCTGTCGCTGAAGAGAGCCGAATTCCCATGTGCCATGGTAACATGGATATATAAAAGTTCAGCCTCAGAGCATCTTCCTCAGTCAGTTCTAAGCACTTCTAATGCGAAAAGTCGTCACGTTTTGATGTTTTCCTGCGGGTGTGTAAACTACTATAATATTTTTTCGTGTTATCTCCGTGCTTTTTATTTTTGTATGTGGTTCGTGACCTCCTGTGGGCTCTGCACTTGCTTCGGCTGAATTTGAATTCGAATTCGGGGCCAAATTCAAAATGTCATGGTCATCTACATGTAGTATCAACTAGTGCCAAATTCAAAATTTCATGGTCATCCAGTGTCAACTTCGTGACGCTTTCATATACATATATGCACTTTCTCACGTGCTTAGTCATTCTTCATCACACACATACACACACGCGCGCGCGCGCCCACACACACACACACATATGCTAAAACACTGGTTTAACAGAATCTAGCAGATGCCTTATCCTAAGCGATGTGTTACTTTTAATCAATAATCCAGCGGAGAATAAGTGACATATTAGATTGATGATGGATTCATATGTGACGGCCGGTGTAAAAAATGTTGAGAACGATGTGTTGGAGAGAGAGAGGGAGAGAGAGAAAATGAGAGAGAGAGAGAGAGAGAGAGAGAGTATCAATATTCTTTCTTTTTAATTACTATCGACTATGACTATTAACATGTAATTACGTTTGAGGTACAAAGTTGTTAAAGCGCATGTGTTTTTAATAAAATGGTGTGTAGACCATTATATACTACACGGCACAATGCAGCTATCTAACCTTGCGAGAAAAGAAATCGACCAGATAAAACCCCACTGACACTTGTCAATGTAGGTTATGTCTACTACATATAATAAAACTATTATCCAGAAAATCCGACTGAAAACATCTAATTGTATTTCCTTGATTGAGTGTTTTGTCGAGGACGTTCTGATTTTGAACAACGGGGAAAGGAAATCAAATTAACACCCTAAGCGTGGGGCTCCTGCTATTTTTTCTTTCCAGCAGGGTCACCTTGGGTCCAGTAATTTTTACCGCCTCATATGAGGGTATATATATCTTAGTGGAGTGCGTCAGTGTGCGTGTGCCTGCGTGTTTTAGCTTGAAACCGGATGATATTATTCGTATATTGGTAGGAGTAGGAGTCCCAAAATCAGTCATATAGGTAAGGGAAATAGGGTAATACCCCCCCCCATCGCTTTTTTAATGGTAAGCTCCACCCCAACTAAAATTTGCTGCCTACGCACACTGATCACGACGTATATCACGACAATCCACTTCCATGTCATTCGCCCAAAGGGTTCATGTTATTTTAACTGATCAAGCTAAAATGTGTTTTAGATTGAACATTCAATTACAGCTAATCACCTATCAGCAATAACGTTATTGTCTTTAGTACATCTACAATATTTCAACCCACCTGGTATCCTAGCATACATCAGTATTGATGAACCAATCTGCAGTACACAGTTTGATAATCCGATCCATCTATGCCATACTGAATGTACGTAATCATCCACACAAACGCCGTTATCTCTTCTCTGAATCACTTACCAAAGATGTTTAGCGCATTAACATCTGTCATTGTTGTCTTTCATCGTTTTTTGTTACTCGCCTAACCTCTACTACATGTTTCTCTGAAATGCACAAAAAAGCAAAGTTGAAAATGTAAGTTTAAAATCCGACTATAAAAGCGCATCTCCTATATATATAAGAATTTAAGCACTGTAACCATTTCAACAAAAAATAAGACGTGAACGCCTAAAAGCGTTTCTCTTCCTCGTTTAGTTACAGCGTTGTACTTAGATCACAGAAGATGTTTTTATGGCAATACACGAGCATTGTACGTTTATCGAAATATCCAGAGTGATTGGGTGTTGCAGACTTCCGGTCACGTGCTCAGTAGTGAGGCATGTGCTGGTTCTTTAGGTAACACATAATAAAACCATATTGACCAATAGTCTAATAACAATTTTTCAAGATAAATTGGTAAAACTTTCCTCAATGAAAACCTGTTTAAAATCAAATCACTATACCGTGCACATTGCAATGTAATATCATTGATCGATAATCTGACCACTTCTCCTGTGGGGCACTTTGATATCGTCTGGACGGCCGTATTTTTTCCTAATTAATGTCCTACATTGTACCAGAACTCTAGAGTGCAGTTAAATGACCAAATGAAATCCAAATTTATTATCTTGGTATCAGCCCTGTTTTATAGCCCTAACAAGAACCTCTACTAAAAGATGCTGGCATGAATATCATTGGTGTTTTAACCAAAAACGAAATTGCTTGCGCGCTTTGTACCTCAGGCAGACAAAAAATATATTTCAACAATTAGGATTCCGAAGATTTTGCCCTGCACATACATGTATAATCTAAAGAAGTGCCTGAAGCTACCGTCCAATAAGAATGTAGTAAAAAATAAATCTAAGAAGTAAAGAATAAGTGTACCATGTATACATATTGCCATGTTTGCTTTTCTAGCAAGAATGGCAAGAATTACTGCGGAAGTTGCCGTATGTATTAGGCGTCTTAAGAACGCATAAAGAAAAAAAAACCCGAAAAGAAGGCCACTTTGCAACCCCACAAGCGAAATTTGTGCAAAGTTGTAAATAAAAACTTTTGCTGACTCATTGCATCATAATTTTTAGGATGATGAGTCGTATTGAATATTTCATATATATTTTTTATCCCTTAGGCCATAACATTTATAACAGGGAACAATTTGTTGCATTGTTAAAATGATTAGGATAGTGGGGTTATATAATAAAAGCGGTCGTTTGGCCAAATCTCGAACAACCAATATTCTTTGTTCCCTTCTTTCTTGTTGTGAATGGGATTATGAAAGTTTGTGGTGCACTGGGATAGAGGAAACATAAACAGCTGTAATGGCTACAATGGCAGTTGCGGTAACCACAGAAATTCTTAGGGACAATCATGCCAGCTTGGCCTGGACAAAACATATTGTTTTATAGGTTTGCTATGTTTGAATTGACAAAAATTGCGGCGACCTTACAACAAATGATAACTACCATTGTTACTGCTGTTCTAAAAAATCAATAAGGCACATATTTCCATTCGGCTGTATCTAAACAGAGCAATTAAATCCACATATACAATACGTTTTACCCAGTAGTGTTTACGGATGCCTTTTCTACACATGAGTAGTCTTGCGATTAACTAAACAGAGAAAAGATACGAAAGAACCTGTAAATTTGCACAATCCTTTCGTGCAACTATTTTAACCGCCTGTGCAAAAAAAGCTTTGCTCAATGAATTTTTCATCAACTCAATTGTTGAATGATAACAGTAAATAGATGGCGGTTTCAGCGTATTACATACCCATATGAATTTAATATAGAAAGCCTGCATTGTTTGCCATTGTGAATTTGGAGAAATGCAGCACAGGTGCAAAGACTTTATTATCCTCCCGACCTCATGACAAACAATGATCATAGGTGACTTTATATCTTTATATTTGTAATGAGTGCAAGCCTATGAAAAAAAAAAAAAACGCCACCACGAAATGATAATATTGGGCGTTCTCGATTACCAGGATGCTCTACATATTTTGTCAAGTGTTGCGAATTAATATTTTTTTCAGAATAACATGCCACAGATAAAATATCAGGATGGTATATTTTCCAACAGAACCTTTTTTGCCTGAAAGCAAAACTTAATCACCTCACCTTTTACAGCTACATTTGACAAAAACATGTCTGTGTTAACTTCACTCCCCGGTGCAAACATTTCCATCACTGAAGATTTCCTGTAGAATCATCTTTTACTGTGATAAAACACATTTGCCAAGCCACTCACGTTTTGTTACAAATAATTCTGCATCCTCAGATCAACCAAAAGACGACTTTCGCATCTGAAACCTGCCTAATGCGCAAAGTCAATAATGGAATCCCCTAAAATGCGCTCTTCGTTTTCACCAAATTGGTTTACTAGGTAATTAAATAAAGTACGGATAGAAGGGAAAGTATATATATATATTAAATAAACAGTACGTTTGGGAAAAGAAGTTTAACGTGGCTTCGATGCAGAGAAAGTGGCATGTGAAACCTTTCGGGCGCGGGGTTATCGACGTGAACACTCTAGCTCGGTGCTAATGCAAGCTGTTTGGGAACGAGATAAGTACACTAATGCACACGGGCTTCACTTATCGAGGCCCAACACTCTATTGCATATACTATGGGACAATTTGATCGATTTACCCTTATTAAGTAGATGAACCTCTGGGGTTATGACTCTTCAAAGGTGGTTACGTGGTACTGGAGTGCCACTGGGAGCAATTCCTGACGTGTGAATCGTGCTCTCCACGAAGTGGAGGAAGTATCAACTCAACTGAAAGCCAAAAAGTAGCTTTGTAGGTCGTGTCTAGGCCTTTAGATACCAATGGCCCGTACCGGTTAAATAAGCTTACTCCGGTATTGGTATAAGGAGTTTTAGTATTACCTAATGGTTAAATATTGGAAATATGTTCCCATGATTCTGAAAAGTATACCTCGCAAGTGCAGAAGACTTTTTAAACGCTTCAACTGCTTGCTGCCCTATGCATTAAAGCGACCACTAGGTTTCAGAAGATTTTAAGTGGGTATATCTGTACTTACATGCAATCACCTTCGTTAAATTTTTCTCATACTGCATTACTTCCATTACAGTGATATGGCTGCCTCGCGGGAGCAATTAATATAAACTGAATGCCTTGCAAACTAACACCATCTGACTAACTATCCATACGTATACAGTTCTGGACATCACAATCACTGCGTGTTCGAAAGCGGTGCATTGTCCTCCTTTAAACATCCCCCATTGTAATAATGACACTGGTTTAGAGAGCATTAAAATAGGCATAACTTATACATGTATAGATATATAGGGCCTAACTGCTCCTTTCCAGATTGCCAAAATCTGAAAATCTGCTTTGGTCAGTTGCATGCGACCGGGCAGTGCAACAGAATAAGATGTTGGTACAGTTCACTGGTTTGGTGCACCGTCGTCACTTGTGTCGACCTTGGTTATAACATCCAGTCAGTGATTTTGAAAGGAAAACATGCTGTACGTTATTACAACTTGAGCTTTGACAGATGACTTGTGTTTTATATTCATAATATCATTCTACCTAAAAACGTTATGTCTATATACTCACCATGATGAATCGGCTCTCTCATGCATAAATTAAAACCGCATCAACAAATAACAACCGCTCTTGCGGATTTTTCATTAAAATGACCCAGTGATACAGTGAACGCCGTTGTCGCACCCTAAAACAAGATGTTAGTACAAAATAAGACGGGCAATAAATACGCTGTCTCTATCCTCATTATAGGTGCATGATTGATGACAGTGACAACAAAGTAGCTATACAAATAGTCCCCAGTTACAATCAGTTTCCTTTAATGTTATGAATATGCTTACCCGTTTGTCAAATAATTCTTACCGTGAGTCCAGTTCCATCTATTGACCAGTTACAAGGATTTTTTTGTCGCCGTACAATACATTGTCATGCTACCAAAATTGTAGAACGCTAAATTATCAGTAAACTTCCTATAAAGGGAGCAGGCATCCACGCCATAGGCATGCAGCCTGAATATGTTACCGAGACACTTTCAATAGCTGATTTATAAATAGTTGAATACAGGTGATCATTCACTGTACGGTATATAAACAATGACGCATACAGACGGCAAGAGTAAATTACTTCGAAGCTGCACTATGAGGGTGCCATCAGTTTTTCTATACTCCATTGGATGATTCAAAGTTTATATTTCCTTTGCTTCTCTTGCCTTTGATTCGTTTTAGTGATCACTGCAGCTGCTTCTCAGAAAATTCTGCTGCGGAATATATTTTTGAGACTGCCCATTATGCATACTCCTGTGACAACTGCAGGTTTCCAATTATCCTATCGGTGTGATTATTACGGACGAGTCAGTGCAATTATTGATATCAGGCAGACTGCCGTAGATGATGCTTAAAAGCAAGTCTCTTAAATTGTTTAACACGGCATATTCAATATTCTTGCAAATGATACCTGTGGACCCACAGTTCAGTAGTACCTTTCAAATGTCTTAATCGTATTAATCATCGCACCCTCTCTCTCTCTCTCTCTCTCTCTCTCTCTCTCAATCCCTCGTATTGCACACGCCCCCTTTTTTCTCACCTGACTTGGCTCTCTGGCGCAAATGCACGCATAGGAAGAGCTATATCGACTGAGGCAATGGCTATGCCAGCGTTTGTTTAAGTAATACTCACAAAATGACGATAACAAGCGGTTATTTTGAGACGGCAACGGGTCAGAATTTATGTATATACATGTATTTACGTGTGTTCACAGACACATCACGAAAAAATTGATTCAATCTTTCTCCTCATAGCCTACGAGTGTAATCGGTACAACAGTCAAATCGTTATTTTGGTGCTAAATTAGTAGGCACGACACGCCCATGTTTGATACAAACGACAGCACATGCAAATCATTAAATAAAACCACGGGACAAGCACAGTTTCAGAGCCAACAATCTTATTTTTGAGAAATAAAAATAGAAGTGGTTGTTTATGGAGTATTTGGTCTGTCAAGACTAGACTTGCTTGAAGGGAAATAAGATGGACGACGGTATAGGCCGTCATTCCACATTGGGGTCGGGAGGTAAATCGATTATAATTCATGCGGTTGGCCTAAATCACAATAAGTGGATCAGTCCTATGTACTGGGTTTTATTGCTCTTCAAGTATAATGTAAATAAATAGGTTAAATTGGTTAATCCAACTATACAACAAGATATATACACCAGAATGTAAGGCTACAGTTCAGTGAAAGCATGTTTTGTCGATCAGGACTAATCTTCATTATCAGTTCTTGCATTGCCTAGAAAGTCACATTTGATGCAGATCACAAGATGTACAGGGAGGTATAAATATATTGTGTAATAAATTGAGGTCATTTTTTGATATGAAGCAATGCAATACTAACGCCAATGTGGGATTATATACATGATGTTGCACTTGTAGAGCTTGGTGGTTTGTGTTGAGAGGTGGTGGGTAATGTTTAACATGGTATGGGCGTGCTGTTTATGTTCTGGGGTTTAGTCACGAAGATCGAAGGATTGACCTTTACATCTTGTAAAATTGTAAGTGAAAAAGATGATGTCAGTTATGTGATGGACACAAAAAATGTGCACAGTTTCTCTCAAGCGATAAATGCGACGTGTTTGTGTGCGTGCTAGCGTGCTTGCGTGTTAGTGATTGTACCGTTTTCGTTGTCCTTAACGGGAGTCTTCCAAATTGGTATCTATCCCAATTTACATAAATCTTCAAACTTTCTAAGCAACCCATTGACCAACCATATATCTATATAAGACAATCATTGAATCAATCTGGCGTCTTTCTGGTAAAAGGTATCGATCGGGATACATAATATAACTGTCAGTGTCTTAGTGAAATATATCGCTTAGTACATTTTTTCTTCAAGATCAACGGAAAACACAACGAAGGTAAATATATGTGAACCCCTTTCTTTTTTTATCAAAATTAACGTTACAGGTTTGCAAAAAAAATGTACATGCAGACTGCTGTTACACCGTCCTCCCGAAACATGGGACTAACGTGCCGAGTTGCGAAATGAGTTCCATTAAAGGAATATGATGATGAACACGCAATATACATGTAGGTCACTTAACTCTAGCGTTATTAAGCACAATTTGCTTGTAGAATTGGCCTTCATGTTATTACTACTACCGGTAGTATGTTTCTGTCTACAAGTAACATGTTAATGGTAGACCACATATACCATGCTTAAACAGGTGTTCCTAGAGGATCTCATTCAGCACTCACCAGTATCCAATTACAGAATTCATTTCAAACGGTGGATATGAATTGATCAGGAACACTGTCTGCATAACAACCGAACGAGTTACCACTTATGTTTCTTCAATTGTTGCAACAAGGATGCATTCACAGGTGGCGGCGCTAATGTCTTGTAGAAGAAAGGGTAATAACCTTTTTCTAGCGGTCTATTCTGTATCACAGGATCCCTTGTTCTTTAATCAATTAAAAGTGTAAATGCGAAGCATCGCACCATCTGCTTCCTCTCTAAATCTCAGCCTTCTGTTTGGTTTGCTTTCAAGACACACAAGTCGAAACTAAAAACTGTTCACAAAGCAAAAACTAAAAAAAATCCGAGGATTTCAATTCAATAAGTTGTTTATGCGTACATATTTTGAAGTCATGTCGATGTGTAGCATGGTACCATGACGGATGTCCTCGAGTAACTCATATGACCTTGCCAGTTAGACTGTGACCACTTCGGTTCAAGTATTAAAAAAACAGAATTGAGAGACTTTTAAGCCATTGAATGAAATAACTAGTACCTGATTTTGAAATGAACACATTGTTATACAATGAGTTACATTTGCATAAATGTACATGCATTTACATTTGCATTGGAAGACAGTACATTTTAAAATTCGTATCGTCAAACAACAGCATATGCTGGGGTATAACGAAGGCAAGATAATGGAATGAACATGATCTACAAATCACACAATAAACTTATTGACTGAAGTTTTTGTAGCATGTAACATATGCGTGAACATTAAACATTGATCATTTTTATACAGTATGCAGGACAACCAAGTGTGAAAGCTATTCTGAAACTGCAAACACCAAATCAACATCAAACATTCATAGGTTTTGTCCCATCAGGTGTGTTTCTGATCAAATGGATTCTGTATACACAATGGCACGTACTCCATAAAAGCATCCATGTCCCATGCGGGTTTACGAGGATTAATTCGGAGACCGTTGGAAACTTAAAAACCCCACTGTTCCCAGAGAGGATTTCCCGTAAATAGCCAAAGGACTTGGAATCGGCTTGCAATCATCGCAAACAGCTGTCGAAACACGGAATTGATTTGTTTATGTGTAGTAAATTACAACAGCTAAGGATCTTCCAAGTGGAGATTAAGAAAACAGCATGACATCATTTTTGTTATGAAATGAATTCAGACAACAACAACCCTGTGGTAAGCCATCTTATTTATCTCATACAAATACACCAACTAATTGCCTCCATGCGTTGAATGATTCATCAATGTTGAAAAGACCTATACACGGTTTTTCCATTTTTAGTCGAGTTACAATGAAAAACCACAAAGGTAATGCTTATAGAGTCGCTTAAAGAAGCTACTCTCTTTTTAGGTTAATTACAAATGCATGTCATTCCTAAAGGCATATTAAAACTTTACTGCAATGGTTTCATCATGATTTTATGAACCACGTATATATCTACTATATATTTTTAACGTGCCGCTCCTGTTTATGAGGTAAACAACAAAAGTAGATAAACGTTTATGACTTTTTTCTTTCATCCCTTTAGAACAATTTACATATTTTTTTCTAAATTGACAGTAAAGTCAAATATGGTAACATTGGAAATTTCAGTTTCATATGTCATATTTTCGCCATGCCTGATCTGAATTTTTAAATAACAACAAAAAAAATTGCAGTCCTAAAGTCACAATTTTTTCTCCTGAAAACAATTACGTTGAAAGTCAATCAAGGTCAACCATCATGGGTCCCTTGAGAGTTGATAATGGCTCTGATGGCGTCCAAATTACCCTCAGGAGGATTGATTCGTTTATGAGTAATGATAGAACGGAGCTGGAAACAAGACGGTCTTGTTTGATAACGTTTGATATGTCCACAATCGTAAAATTAACGATCTATACCCACAGAAGTATAAAAAGAAGTTAATTTTACAAAATTATACATTATCGTATTGCCTGATTGAAAGAAATCAAGTTGGAAAACAATTGGACTTCCTGTGTTGGTCATCAATCATTTGGATCAATACGTTTTGTTTAAGTTCATATGTTAGCATCAAGGCCGTGTGACGTGGGTCATCTTTGTATACGAGATGGTAGCAACAAGAATGGTTTCATATCAGTCACAATCGAAATGCTTTGGTCACTTTTTGATAAGGACTTTGCTGTTTAACAGCAGATTAAATGATATGGTATAATCTTTTTCCCCTCCGATGCCACATGGGATTTGCGGGAAGACTCGCTCCTTCTTTGAAAGTTTGGCTCAGATTGATAATTTCCCAAATGTGTCAAATTGTAAACAACGTTCCGTGATACATAGAGTCACCGACTTTGGGAGGTTGCTCCACTTGTATTACATTTTTACCACAAAGGGACGTCATCACGAAACAAAATGCAACCAGACAGCATTAGCCACGTTTCACCACACGTGTTAATACACGCATCTATTTAGCAGAGATATTATCTCATTGCCCAATGTATAAGATATTATCACCCACAAATTTACATCTGATATTCCTTGAATTTATTCACTGTTTGGTATTGAGTTGTACATTCAATGGTTTGATAAAATGTTGGAACTACTGCGGTACTTGAAATCATCTGATATCAAATGACTTGCTCGCACGTCACCATAGATTATACTGGTATGCTTCGAAGAATCTACAGTACACTTTTCAAGTGCTTCCGAGAGTCCGAATATTACGTACGTTTCATGGTTCTTATCACACATGAGTCTCGTTTTTTTCATGAGGAAGTTTCACGTGAATATTACTCTGCATTGCATCGAGTTAGCTTATATATGTTTTTACTAAATAATTAAAACACTTCAAACGTAAGGAACAAAAGCAAGTTGACCAAATAAATAAAATTCTTCACAAAATCTTGCAATAACTAGAGGGTCGAATTTACTGTAGGTATCTTCTTGCATTGGTGACCGAAGCACGCCCAGCAGTTTGGCTAACTACAATATATTTGCCGATGGCAATACTTCAAATATTGGGTAAAATAAAGTGCTTTGCATCACACTCCCCACTTTCTATGTAATCCGCCTTGCGACGTTTTCGTTAAGCAATCCCACTATGACGTCGCCGCCTTTAACTTCACATTGTTCAGTAGCAGTAATTGCTTCATCTTGGATGTCATCTTTGTCCAAGTCTTTACATACACAGCAGTAGTGTAGTCTGTCCTGGAAAGAAGATCATCGTTATTGAAAGGAAATAAGTGAAAACAATGTTGAGAGGCATAATGATTAAGGAGAGGGAACAGAATGGCACCATTACGTAATACTCCGCAAAGTCCCAATAACCCACATCTATGCCAGTTGGGATTCAAATTGAATCAATTTTTGCCTTGTTTAATTTTATTACATTTCTTATCTCAAAAGACAATTAAAATCACAATGAACAAGCACGCTTATGTAGTATCCTTAGCATGTCTTAAAGGTCGTTATAACATCTGAACCAAATCGAAAACCTATATTTGTACCGGTACTAGTAGGCCTACATGAACTTACTGCACCGTGATCAACAACCCCGGCGGAGAGCGGCAAACGGCAAAACATGACGTCAAATATCGGGCAATTTTGTTCGTGTCTGTAAATCCTGATATTGTCATATGATCACATAAAATAAAATAAAATAACAATTCCAAGAAAAACAATTCCAAGAAACAGAAATAGTAAATGAATAAACATGCTTTGCAAATATTACTGTTTAATAAGACGAAGTTTACTGTGATGACTTCAAAACGTGCGTTTGTATTCTTGCTGTGGACTAAGTGCAGCTCTACAGTATCTCGAAGCGTATTCATGCAGCCTTTAAAAACTGCATACATATACTAACCTGTGATAGCGCTGACAACCATGCCAACCATCACAACCAACTCCAAAGTCACAGGTACTGTACGATAACTTGTACTGGTCATTCAGCGGGGGACTGAAACAAAATTGGTTGCATTCAGATTTCTAGTTGTTTCCTGCAAGGTACAAAGCATACCTGATAATAATGAGGTTGGGGATGATGGCCATTGAAGAAAGGCCTTTCTACGGCCGTTGTGATCTCGAATTACAAAAAAAAATCTGCAACGCGCCTCGGTCGTTTTCTACTTTCGACATGCAATACAGTCGCGTTTAAACAAAACAAGTACATGGGGCATGCATGTAGCCTACAGTACATGTAGCCACTCATTCTGCTCAGATTTTTAACCCATGCAGAATACATAACTCTGACCATCTAATGTGCATTGCTCATGGAATTTGTCCTCTTTGTGTAACTAAGAAATTGTTTTTTTTTCATTGCTACAGCCAGCTACATCAAAAGTTTTGTGAAAATTGTCGCAGTGATATTCAAATTTCCAGAAAAAAAAACAATTGTACCTCTAAGTTGTCGAAATACTACATCATTTTACCGGAAATGTACGTCAGCGTATCTGTAGTTCTAAAACTTCTAAATATTTAACGACCAACACAAGGGCGGCTCTTACTTAACACTTTCTAAACAGATTTTCATCTTTGATGCTTACACATTGCAGTCCGAGTTTCAACGGCTCATTTGATTTCTTGTGTAAACACAATTGGATGAATCAAACAAACAACGGGATTGAGAACGAATAGAAATAGAATTCCTTTTAAATATTTACAGAATTCTTTGAAGTTCAGCAAAAATTTAAAAAAAACGATAAAAGCATGAGTATCTGAGATCACCTTTATGCAGGAGATAAGTGTCCCTTAAATTATATACAATAATACTTTGTGTACTAACTAATTAGGTGCTGGAGTGACCATGGGATATGCGATAGTAGTAACAGCCGTAGTCACATTAGTGAGAGATTAGTTCACAGCAGAGAAGAAGGCTGGTGATAAGACCGGATATCGCACCCTGCAAATGGGAAAAATGAGTGAAAATTGGGCCAAAAGTTTCCAAATCCTAAATGGCTGTTAGACATTATTGTTGCTGTTAGATCTTTTTTATTTCTTGGAACACTAATTGGATGTATTTGATTGTCAATCGGTGGAAATGGCCAAGTACTTACATGAGGCGAATGCGAATACTACTTGTAGGCTACCAGTTTGCTCACTTTGACTTTCAAATTTACACCTCTCGCAAACACCACTCATTACCTTCCAGTTGGCCCAGGGAAAGAGAATCCCCAAAGTAAAAGTGCCCAGTACAGGGCCGCCTACCATGCTACCTAACTTAAGTGCTGCCTGGAAAAATGACAAGAAAAGATCTAAGATTAATACAGTGTGTGAAATGAAATTGATGGCACTCCAGCACTAATGTCCATTTAAGTCAACAATAAAGGTACAGTTCTTAATGCACATTTCTCATTCTATCATTTTAAACAAACAATTCTTTGTATCAGTAGCAATATCTACCTGCAGCACACCTCCAAGTGCAACCGCCAAAAATGCCAAACCAATTACGATACCACCAAATACCGCAGCTGACATGCAGGTATGGCGTTGAAATCATAGAATTATTCAAGGTAATATGTAACAATACAATTTCGGATGCAAAACACTGGACATGTACTGTCAGAGTCGTAGTTTTTATAGTTTGGTTGAGAACCAAAGTTTTGAATGGGTTGACAGGAACAGTAAAATTGTCATTATTTCTAAAATGGAATTTTATCACTTTTAGATAATTGCCTGGTGCATGACTTGGTATAAATGAGCCCAACTGAATAGTATAATCTTTTGATCTGGTATCAGTAGTCTGTAGTATTCGCATAGGTTAGTAATATCTACCAGAGACCTGGTAGGTTATGAATTCATTTCTGAAACTGTGTAGAAATCTTCGCAGGACGCCGTGCAAAAATGTGCACAGAATTCGCCAGAGAAATATCTGTAAATAAAGTAAAAAATCTCTCTGTGGTCCCGGTAGAGGATATACGTTAAGCAGGTTTACTTACACATGCTTTCTGATATCAGAGTGGCTCTCCTATCAGACACGTCTTTACAGCAGAATTCCTTAAAAAAGTCATGTGTGGAAACTGTGGCCAGGCTGTTGACACCGGAAAATAAGGTGCTAGAAATAGTGATAGGTTTATTAGAGTTTTCAATTGGTTTTTTATTCTTCTTACTTCCTCTAATTCATTTTTGATTTATGTCAAAATTCAAATTTCAATTATATTAATATCCACTCATTTGAAATATCTTCATCGGGGTTATTTCTTTTCACATGACAATGCGCACCTAAGCGCCCCGCCGAAATGACAGGCGACAAAGAGGCCTGGCAAACCAGGCGCGAAGGCTAGTTTATCCATCACGAAGAACTGCAGCAGCTAGGAGGAAATATGACGCATGCATTAAGATTATCACTGAATCATGCAAATTCGTTCGAACATAAATTTTTCCGTCGACGTCAAAAATATCGTAATTAAATCGTGGTCACTGTACGCCTTTTCATAGCGTGCCAGCATGACGCATGCACAACACCTAGAGGAGATGCTTCGCACAAACAGAATGGCCTGGACGGTGCGTAGGCCTATATATCCTTCAGAAAACGGGCCCAGCGAATGATTTACACGACACAATATACAAATTGGTGGGTCGTTATGTAAATGTCGAGCTTTAAAATGCATCCTAATGTACAGATTAAGTGTTGTTTCTCTAAAACCCGAAAACTTGTAGGCCTATATAATGTATCGCTTACCATTTGATATCGGAGAGCCCATTGTGTTAGATGAGCCTGACACATAGTAAAAAAATAAAAATAACAATAAAATAACACCACACCATCCTTCTCACCATTCAAACATAACATAGTATTGTACCTGATCCTGGTTGGTAATATCTTTATTTGTCATTGGGTCACAGTCAAGGTAGTAGGCGCTGATGATCAAAATGGCGATCAAACCTGGCACGTTTATCTACATGTTCGTGGCTCTAGAAAGAAAACCCTACGATATTGCGTTAATACGTTTGTACAAACACTTCTTGCATTTCTCAGGGAATTCTGTACGGTTTAATATCCACTTAAATTTTATATACGGTATGGGAAAATACCATAACCTGACGTTTGTTCCAAATAATCTTTCTTTTTGAAGGAAAGCATACAAAGTTGGAGGTCTGAAACTAATATTTGAATGGCAACACTTTGAGTGTTTCCACTATTGTTCTCTGCAAAAGCATGGAAGACTATGTTTCATTTTACTCAATATAAATGATATCCAGCAATCCAAAGAAATCCTCTTGAACAAAACGAATGTTACCAAAACGATCTCGCACAGAAAGGTTGGCTTTTTTTACTTTGTTACGTACTTTGTTTTCTTACTTTGCTCCTGTTTTCTTTTATCAATGTGGTAAGTGGGAGGTAATAAAGCATGTCGTGAGCATTCATGTCGATAGTGTTACTAGTGGAGTGAGAAAAGTATTGGTAACATTTTATGTATCTAATCATCTTCGGATTTCTGGAGGCTGTCAGTGTGGGTAACAGGTTCTGTCCCTGGTCATGGATATACATATGCACCGAGTGTGATTTCCCAGTAACGCATATAAACTACTTCTACTAGTTTCTTATATGACTCAAATAAAGTCGACATACCAATGGATAAAATGGGGTTTGGCAGGTAGCAATATTTTAAAACCACCTGAAAATTGTGACAGTATACTAGTACTCCAACAGTACTGCCAAAATAGTCATGGTTTAAGGGGTATCGATGCGTCATAAAGGCTTAAATTTATCAAAATAGGTTTCTTCCGTTTCTTTTGTGAAATACAAATCTTAATGTTAATGTAATTTACACAATGATCGGTTGCCTAGTTATTATGTTAAAGTAAGATGAAATATATGGGTATCCTTGTACATGTAACAATGTACTGTACATAAATGCGGTAGGGGTGACTCCTTTTTGCTATAGTATACATGTAGTATACATGTAGGCCTATATGAATCCACTGTTTGTCTGCCCTGCAAACTATGGCATAAAAATTGCTCCAAACCGCTAAGCAATGTGCCATATTACATGTATATGTACTTCTCATGTTATGATAGAATATTAGTAAATTTCTAGCTGAAATATGTACAGTGATAGTTGCTGACGTCATTGTGTGTCGACCAATCAAACGGAATTTCTCTTTAAACACATTTTCAAAAATATTTAAGCATCGATTTTTAAAAAAATTATTTATTTCTTCAAAATAATGTACAATCACGTTTAATTCAAATCAATTTTTCTTTCAATTCAGTCCAATTTTGAAAAAGTGGAAAATTGACACACGTTAAGACATATTCCTATTTCATCTGCTGTTCAACGCTATCGTTAAGCAATCCTACTATAACATCGCCATCTTTGATTTCACCGAGTTCGGTAGCGGTAATAGTTTCATTTTGGATGTCTTCTTTGTCCACGTCTTTACATACACAGCAGTAGTGTAGTCTGTTCTGGAAGTCACCAGCAAAATAAGTTTTATAAGTTTCAAAGAAGAATCCAAACATGGATTCGAGGTTCAATTGATCAGTTAATAATTAAGTATTAATAACGTTGCCGTTGCGTATTGGTCAAACAGTTATTTAAGTTGAAACAAATGTGATCTGAATAGATACATCATATACAAGTTAATTGTACTGGGTTCAAAGCAGCAGAATAACAATTGTCAGGGACACATTAACGCTTGGCTATACTTACTATATCATGGTCTACTCCACAGCGAAGCGTTTGACGAAATGATTGTGGAAAGCAGCAAAACATTACGTCAAGTATTGGACATATCAGCCTGTAGTCTAACTTAGAGGTATCGGTAAACCCTAAATTTAATATGGACGTGGCCATTTAAATAATAACCAAATATCTAAAAGCATGAACTTTAAAATCTTTCTATAATACAAACAGGGTTTATTTTCAATGATCATGTTCGTAAAATTTCACTTTGAAAAAAGTTTGATTTATTTCATAGCGCATCCATTTGTTATATATCACAGTATTAGTATATTATGCCACTTACCTGTGACAGCGCTGACTGCCATTCCTACCAAAACCTCCACTAGAACTGCAAAGCCACTGTACCACAGGTACGACAAGTTGTAGAGGCCGTTCAACGGAGGACTGGAACACAACATACAGCAATACAATCTTGTACACCTACGATATCAGTAATTTTGTGCTGCATTCAAGCATGTGCATATGTACCACGTGCAATGTTGATTAAATATGTAAATGAATGCTTGGTGATATAAAGAATGCATTCAAAACATCTGTCGATGACGAACATGTATGTGCACTTTTACCCTGTATTTGTAATGCTATAGTTCTTAGAACAATCCCTTCCCATCGGACTGTAGCACGGTTGTGGGAATTTACAGATCTTTCATTTGATCTGTGGAGAGCATTGGGAAAGACTTTTAAACTTTCAAAAATGTCAGTGTCAAATGCATGTCGGAATTTTATTCACCACTACCTGTATTCAACATAAATTTCACAGACATTTTGAATATTACCATATCAATCAGTAATGAATCCTTGTTGATCAAGGTTTAAACTAAATTGCAATTAACTAAAATGCAAGGTTTAATCAACGTTGTGAACCTGCAGACTTCTGCTAGGATTTGTATAGTTTTCATTTAATATGTATATTAGCGAAATACTGACTTCCATTTTCTCTTGGGTCTTGGTGTCTTGTGTCTAATATGTCAATCAGAGGACATATTGCAGACACTTCATGCTCGGCACTAAATATCAATTACATATACATTGTACCGCACACATGATTGGGGAAATATGACTTTCAATGCTGGAATAATGAAAGATCTGAAACAAATAAAATTTGAAAATAAAAAGACCGGCAATAGTATTAAACTTACTTATAAGGTGCCGCCGTCGGTATAAAGGCAACAGAACTGGCAATAGCTGTACTAGTAGTAACATTAGTCAAGGTTTCATTCAGCGGATTACAACCTTCAATGGATACAGGTGCTTTCCAGACGGCGGGTTTGTAAATCTGGGCGCCGATGCCGATCCAGAAAGTGAAGAGAAGACTGGTGACAAGGCCGGCTATCGCACCCTACGAATGGGAAATGTCGATCAGAAATTCTGGCTTTTCTAAAAGGCACTTTTAGATCTGGCCTGAATAAAAAACATGTTGATATTTACTAAAAAAAAACCTTTTAAAGATATCTATTCATCATTATTCTGTTTTTAAACATTGGGTTCCAGAATATTATAAAGATGGGATAAAAAGCATTCGATTGTTCAATAAACGACGACGTCAGCAAAGGGCCCCTACCCTACTTCCGTTAAATCAAAGGATCCGTCCTAGATACCTTTTTACATTATGCTCAAATCAGGATACCTTACCTTCCAGTTAGCCCAAGGGAAAAGAACTCCTAGCGTGAAAACTCCTAGTAGAGGACCACCGATCATACCAAACAATGCAAGAGCTGCCTGGAACAAAGGCAGAAGCATCAAAACGTGAATAGAGGTGATGGGAAAATGCCAATGTCAACCCTGAACTAAATAAAACAACCCTGTTCTTCTTAAATCAATAAGAGTGGTACATGAGCATGTTCACTTTTTAAAACTTTCACTTTTATTTTCACTATACTGCTCTACTTCGCTTTATGAGAGAAACAATCCATTTACCTGCAGCACACCTCCTAATTGGGACGCTACAAACGTCAAACCAATTACTATACAACCGAATACAACAGCTGAAAATATATTTAAAAACCAAAAATCACTGTCAGGGAAATTACAGGATATACATTGTAAATATATGGTAAATACTGTAAACGGATGTTTAGATTAGGCACAACAAATTTGAAGTTATCGCTAGCAAATGCAACTATGTACATGTTCGTATAGTGTAATTTCAAACCAAAATGTTGAATATTTCTTTCCCTACAAAAAATCATTGTAAGCGTTCAAGAATATTAACGTACACATAATCTTAGACGTAAAAGTCGCCCTACTGTCAGGCATCTCTTTACAGCAGAATTCCTGGAACAGATCACGTGTCCAGACCGTGGCCAGGCTGTTCAGTCCGGACGATAGGGTGCTATGGAAATGTAAATTGTAGATGAATGGGCGGCGTGGCCTTATGTCCCACACGGGACGAAGAGGAATGATGATGATGATGGGTGGTGTTTGTCTAACATGTATACTGGTATCTCATGATCAGGGCAGGGTAGTCACTTACTGGTTCAAAGGGGCATTCATGAGAACATATACATGCCATTTTTATAGTTGCATGAAACTGTGCCCAGCGAATTTAGACTAAAATGGTTTAAAAATGCCCCCCGCCACCCATATTCCCCCACATTAAAACCCACAGTTCTGAAACGTTACATGTAGGTCTAATATGGATTAAAACGATAAAAAAATGTTTATATTCTTCTTGCTTTCTACCAAGTACATCATATTCTTACTTAGAACCATGTTCTAATTTACTTCATGATAACATTGTAGTTTTCAAATGTACTTTTAGATAAGAGCTATATTTACTCTAAGAGCCATTAAAACTAACGGGTCCTTCTTCCTACCTGAGCGCTCCGCTGAAGAGGCAGGCAGTAAAGAGGCCAGGTAAACCAGGTACGAAGGCTAGCTTGTCCATTACGAATAGGGGCAGCAGCTTAAGCATAAAATATGAAATAGTTATGAAAAAGAAGCATGCACCTCAGTTCCCGTTGAAGAGTCGACAAGCAGGCGAATGCAGACAAAACAAGACAGTCTGGAGAAGTCAAGAACAGCAGCAAAAAGAAGCTTAGGAAGCGTGGTCTACATTTTATCTCAAAATAGAATTAAGTACATACCTTATACTCACTGCAAAACATGCAATTTGATTTGTGCCCTCCTAGAAACTTGTTTATTTTTTTATTCATTTATTTATCTAAGTCTTGAAAAAACTATTTAGTTGAACAATTTGGTGTAATGTTTCGTGTTTATGTTCACCGCGTAGGTCCACCACGTCTGCATGGTTTTCGACACATCCGTGAAATAATACATTTACCTGATCCTGGTTGGTGATGTCTTTATTTGTCATTGGGTCACAGTCGAAGTAGTGGGCATAGATCAGGATACCGGACATGGCACTGATAATCAGAATGGCGATCAAACCTGGCACGTTTATCCACATGGCTCTAGAAAAAAATACACTTGAATCCCGTGGAATATCTGCATGTATTTTTGTTTGTTTGTGGGCCTTTCTGGCCAATAAATATGGCAAATACCTGTAATTCCATGTTAATGAAAGAGAAGAGAAGAGATATCTAGAACTGAATGTATGTGAATCGAATGTTTAAGTGTGCTCGTTTTCCGTTTCCCAGTTTAAAACTATATGTTGTCTATGGGTGACTATCGCGTATCAATGCACTTCCCCACATTGGAGTGATGAAAAGAATAAAGAACCAAAGACCCCCAGAGACAGTCCTACCCCCGGATACAATAAAATTTCGAAGTGTCCATATACGTCCCTGATAATACGTCTATCGATCCGCAAAATTTCATTTTCCTAACATTTCATTGTCTAGAATTAGAAATCACTACACACAGATGAACAGAATCACTGACTTTCAGGATAACATGAATCCCGATATTTGTTCCCAAAGTGCGGGGATAAGAATGAACTGCGGAATCTTGAAGTGAAATCTTACATCTGTGCTCTCCTGAGATCGACCACTGTGAGAGCTCTCTGTACCTGAGCCTGGTTAACACCGTACACAGACAGCCAGGTAAAGAACCCGCCAAACACACACGTCCAAACTGTATGCCGCTCACGTGGGTCGGGGTTGAAGCTGAAATGTTATTTTGAATTTTACCAATGTGGTTCTATTAAATGTCTCCGCCATGGAGTTAATGTATTGCCGTCTGTTTGTCAACAGCCTCACTCAAAAAGTTTTGGGCGAATTTTGATGAAATTTGTCACCATTAGATAGGGCCAATGGCTTGACTTGTTGGGCAATGAATGTGCTAGCTCTCAACTACCACAATTTTACAGCGCCCAGTCATTGGCGGAAGTCTCAGCTCTCTGGGTACATGTATCTTTCTAGTAAACATATGAAGAACATTATCAAATACTCGATAACCCATCTATGTATTGCAGCTTTAATAAATATTTTGGCATTTATTTCAGTCAACTACTTGTCAATTTATTAATTTCTTATTTTTGAATAGCTAAATTTAGATATAATACTTTTCTTTTACTCAAGGAAGTTTATTCGGTCTCCTTTTATGTTAATTTCCCAAGCGTTCCGGAATCCACCTAATTCCAAGGATCCCTGAATGACTACAGCGAGCATTCCGGCCACCATCATGAAGACTTGGAATGTATCTGTCCACATGACTGCTTTCATACCACCCTGAGGAATAAAACACAACCGAATAATTACACCCGGTGTAACATGAAAATCTGACTCCCCCAGTTAAAATTTCATAATGAGGATCTGACTCCCCCAATGAAATTTTGACTCCCCCTCACAAACCTTTTTAAACTCATATTCTATTTGAATATATAACTTTTATCTTGTAGTATGCATAATAGAGGATACATTGGCACTTTCTGAAATTTTTCATGAGGAAATAAGAAAATTAAAAATGTTTTTTTTCACCAAGTGATTCCTTTGAAAAGGCTATGGGAGTAAGATGAATACTTGTTTCAAAAATTATCAAGTTTCACCAAAATTTTCACCACCAAACTTTCAAATAATAACAAAATATACATCACAATGCAAACCATGTGAAAAACAATGGTATGGTGGCTTAATATAAAATAATGCCTTTTCTTCATGAGAGTCCAAATCCCATGGGTATGAATATAAAGATTTTTCATGATTTTTTTTTTCATTTTTTGCACCCAATATTTTACCACCAAACTTTCAAATATTTCCAATATATTCGTCATAAAGTATACTAAAGGGACAAATGTTGAAATGATCACCATGCAAATATCAAATAAAAAGCTTTTTCATAGGGGAGTCATTGGGTGGTAAAATACAAATTTTTTATTTTCTTAATTTCTCATTAAAATTTTCACCTGCAAACTAGTAACAAAAAGTGCAAATGTATCCTCCATTATGCATACTACTATATAAAAGTCATATACTCCAATAAAATAAGATTCATAAAGTTTTGTGGGGGGAGCCAAATTTCATGGGGGGGGAGTCACATTTTCATGATGAAAATTAGACTGGGGAGTCACATTTTCATAATGAAAATCTGACTGGGGAATCAGATTTTCATGGTACACTACTGTTATTTTTTTCAGTTTGCTACTTGTCTTCTTTATTTTGTCACTTGAACAACGGTATGTTATTGTTAAACTTGTGTGATATGATTAAGACAAAATTCAGCATTACTCCTGCCTTCTTGATAATTTATTTTGCTACGCCTCTTTTACTTTAAAAACATTTTATACTTATTGTCATTAATAAAAATATAAAATATATTTAACATGTATAAAAACCGGAAATAGTTTTACTTACAATGCTGGTGTAGAAAACACAGACGACGCCAACTGAACAGACAGCAATCCAGCGGTTTAGACCGGTCACTGAAATCAACACAGATTACGATTAGGCGCAAAATTGAGGACTTACCTGTTCATTTTTCTTCCACTTACTTGTACACATGCTGTAACCGGGCAGGGTCAATTCTGTTGAACTTTTTGTCAGGCGTTTCAATAATACCTTAAAGCGCACATTGAACATTTGACCTTGACTTTTTTTGGAGGGGGGGGGGGGATCTACATATGCACTTTAAGGTGTCTACCTTAAACTTACCTTGTTCTAACGCCAAGGAAGGTGCATACAGAACTATCGCCATGTAAAGAATCTGAAAAAAGATTGTCCTATAACAATGTGAAACGGTTATTATACTATTATACATGTAATAAGGGTAAAGCATTTCAAAAGTTAGCCTTTAAATTTTTCATAACGTTTAGTCGTTGAAAACCTGATTCATTTCTGAATTCATGGAGTTTAATGCACTACTTCAGAATATCACTTACTTTGTATACAATGTACAGTAAGTAAAATCAATCAGTCCATAACAGAACCCGAAACGAAATGTGTCGCGCCAAAATATGTACGTCTGTTACTGCCAAAACAGGTAAATGTACGCCTGATGATAATCACTAATGAAAAACAGCAAATTTTCAGGTTGTTCGTAAAGTTTTGCTTCAAAACGTCTTTGACAGACATACATTAATTTAGACGTAAGGAGAACTATTTTAATTATTGTGCATACCAACGTCGGAGTCTTCGGACACTGCAAACATGGTCATCTTTATCACGTTATACTTTTGAACCATCTGAGACGCACCAAATTTGACACTGTGCACACTATTATATATATATATGCAGGTCAGGTGCACATCTAGGCCAACTTATCAAGGCTGAGGTTTACATGGCTAATTGCTGAGTATGAAGACTGATATATAAGTAAAAGTATTATTCCTTTACAACTTAATTCGGCCGTAGAGTTTTTCAAGTTTTTCGCTACGTTTCAAAAGGCAACTAATTACATACTGAATGAATCTGTCTGTGCAATCTGCATGTACCGGTACCAGTACAATTGACACTGTGTATGTATGCTGTTGTCGTTTTTACAAAAAATATCTCAATTCTACAACCCAGATCAAGTTTTGCAGTACAAAGTTTTTTTCCAAAGAAAGGGAAAAGTCATAAATGCAAACTCACCATCTGCAGGCTGAACGTTAGTGATCCGGCTACACGCACCGCTTTGTTGAAGCGCATTTCGAGATACTAGAAAAGATATATGATTTAAAAATTTTGTGTTTCATAGAATTTCTAAAGCACTATATGCAGAGCCGGTTAATTAGATTCGTTCTGTTACGATTTAATTGCCAATTGTGTGGCATCAGATGGGAAATTGTCTTATCCATTGAAAAGTTATCTAGAAAAAAAACCATAATACGATTTAAGTCATGCCAAAATGTTTTTCTTTTTCACATTTCACTGGACGTACCTCATATGCGCTGGTAATCTTTAGGCGGAAAAATATGGGGAGAAAGACGTGCGCGGCCACGGGGATGACCAATAAGTAGCCAAAGGCTATCCACAGGTACTGCGTTCCATATACGTACATCTCTTTCGGGGTCCCTAGCAACGTTATAGCAGACATGAAACTGGCCAGCAAAGACATGGCTGCGGGTATTGCCCCCATCTGTCTGTTGGCCATCAAAAATTCGGTGGTCGTTCTCTGACGTCCGCCGGTGAACGCCTGGTATATACCTATGCTGGCAGAGACAACCAAAGTCCCTGCAAACACCACGTAGTCCACGGGTCCAAAAGTGTTCGCCTGAGCCTGCGGCATGTTGAATACTGGCTGGTCTTTTGCTGAAGATATGGAAAAATATCTACATTTATCAATAAAGTATATATACGCATTGGTACACAAATCATTCTTTCTAGATGTTAAATTTTTAGGACAATTAAATTTTTTAACAGTGAAACATAAGAGCTACGTGCAGGTTGGATCATATTCCTCTTTCAACCGTGATATGTGTCTCCAACATTTTAGATAAATCTGATGGCTGTCAGTCCTTTTTTTTTACTCACAAGAAAACATCACCGTCAAAGCACGTTAAAAAGCTAACTGGTCTTGACACTTGTTAATATTTGACTTTCTATTTTCAAATCATCTTTCTATGATTCGTTTAACATTCAAAGCAAAAATGGTGCTGATAGGAACTTATCATAATTAACGCAATTTTAATTATATAAACACTTCATATTTTAAATATCTAAACAAATTGTTAAAAATAGAATAAGAATAATTCAAAAGTTTTTGGGCAGTGGTGGACATTTTGAAATATGTTCTAGACATAATACATGTAGGCCTACATATGTAAGTGGCCATACCGTACCGGTACGTGTACATTTAGATAAACTATAAACCTTGTTTTAAGATAACAGCAACATCTTAACAAAGGATGAGAGTGTTTAAAACAAACAAGCTTTACATTTTAAATCATTGAACTCTGCTCCCCCCCCCCCCCCATTTATACACTGTACATACTAGTACATGTGGCTCACCTACATACGTGTGCCTATAGGGATCAGGTCATTCACTTCAATGAAATAGCCCTTCTATTCTCCCCCCTCTTGAAATGCATTCATTTACAAGAAACCCAATAGTCAACTATATGTAGTATTGTATTAAGTTGATATACATGTATGCGTGCTATCAACTGCAGATCTAAGATGGAGTGCAGTGCCCCACTCCCAGTTTCAGACATACCCACTTCCCCCTTCAAAATCAGCATTAGGCCTACATTCAAAAGAGGCAAAATTAAGTCATAGGCGCGTGTGTGTGTGTGTGTGTGCGTGTGCGTGAGTAAAATCAACAGGATAAAATGCCATTTCTAAGATTATGAATAACAATAAGATAAAACCACTTTTATCAAAGGTGCGCGCCCGATATCAACAACCGAACCACTTCATATATACCCGTGTCAACACACTCGCCTTTACACACCGACATGTGTTTACTGCCAAGAACGACGTAAATTTCATTACATAAGATGTTGAAGATCAATATGTGTGCTTTAACACAGTATGGTCCCTTGAACTGATGCATAAACATTGCCATATAAAATATGAGTTATCAATGCCAAAAATTTGCCGTTTATACAGAGGCAGAAATAATATTTGATTGATCATTAAATATGACATAAAATATGAATAATGCAACTAAAAAAACAACAATTATTCTTAAAAATTTAAGTAGTTTTGTGAAACAGGGTACTTTCAAATGATACGAAATGCAAAGTGCGTCTTTTGAGAATAAGACGAAATCTCATTCCAAGGTGCCAATATGCCACTGTACCCTGTATATGTACACGTGTATCTACGATCATGAAAGATGTTGTATCGTACAATGACAGAACAACTGACACTACGAATACTTGCATATCAATTTATAACCCTAACGTCTCTTCATGTTACGTTACCAGTGTGCTGTGCTGGCTTCCGTAAGGGTCAATGATGATAAGATAACCTCAGTTTGAGGTTTTACTCTGTCTCACGCCTACCCAGAAGCTACTCCCTGACGACAGGTTGCGCTAGTAGTCTGTTACATAATTTTTGTATTGCAGGTACTCTAATTTTGTATACCATTTTAAGAGCCTCTGATATCAGAGGGCACCCAGAAGCATGATCGGTACGTGTAATCAAATGAGGGTTCAAGTGCTGGATGAATCGTGTAATGAATCATATTTTTTTGTTCCAGCTCAGGTAAGGGAGACTTCGAATTCCTAGTAATTGAGACAAATCTCTGTGATACCTGTACACATGTCTCAGGTCGCAGGGGCTAGGATATGTTCACAAAATGTTGAGCAAACAGTGTGCAAGTGTGAAAGACTTGACTCAAGTTCACACAATTTGAGTTTTCAGATTGGCAATACAGTTTTATATTGACTTTGCTGTCACATTGGCAATAAGTAGATGTAAATTTAAGCCTTTTATGTTCTCTTTGTACGCTGTGTGATGAGTCCGTAAAGTGAAAAGCATCTAAAATGTTTATATCAAGTTAAATTGACACTGACCGTAATACCGATATTTAAAGTATTTTTCTTATGTCCCAACAGTTAAAATTGCATTTTATTCGAAACAACGTACTGAGATGTCTATTAAATCCCATATGACAAATATGACAAATCTATAACTGTCCCTAATTACACGAATTTAATTCGTTAAAAATGAACAAAACGGAAATTGACATTCTCATAATGAATATATTTTTACATAAAATGTTTTAATAAAACATTTGATATCTTACACAATGAGACTTATTTTTATGATTATTTCGCGACAAAGCCCGTGCTTCTCGTTTTTAATATGTCCAGAGAAGTTGCAAAATCATGAAATGATTGAATTTTGTTTTTCGCGTATGAAAACAAGAAGCACGGCTTACGTTTACCACACGATCGATGGTAATGTTTGTAATGCTAACTATATTCTTATTTTCTAACAAAAATAAATAGATGCGTGCTTATTCTTACGTTTTCAACTCTCCAAGTGTGCCATAAAATGATGAAGTAATAAAATTTCTTTATAGCACACTTAATGTATTCAATATACATGTAGATAATTGTTTCGTTAATTGCCTCATTAAATAAAAGCGATATCCAATGCACTATACTAACATAACAAACTTGGTCGGTTATACATGCACTATATGATCGTCTCTGAGTAACACTGGTGTTTGGTTATACGAATATCTTTAAATCATAATATACAAAGCATGCGCATGCATTGTGGACAGTTGTTTTACTGTCTACCTGAGCCTTGAGAGATTACCCTGAGATAAATTTGAATTCATTATATTCAATATACCACGGTAAGTAGGAGTAAAGTGATTTTCTTCAATCAATAGCTAATATTTAATTTGTTTATCTTGTCTATATTTTGATGTCTGTCTAGAACATCTTCATCAAGAAATATTGGAGGTTAACAATTTCAATATCAGCTGTTGATTGAAAAAAATGTAACGTCACGTGAAATTCTTATCCAAAATAACTACGGCTTTGATGATCAGATTATATTTGGGTCTCCTTCTTCAAATCTAAATCATTCTCATTTTTCATTATTCCATTAGTCTGATTGGCTTCCAGCTCCTTCGTCTTCATGGCTTTATTGTCAAAACCTTCATCTTTAGTTTCACCAAGTTCAGCAGCGGTGATAGCTTCAGCTGAGATGTCTTCTTTGTCCACGTCTTTACATACACAGCAATAATGAAATTTGGTCTAGAATAAAACGGACTCATTGGCATGAAAATAAGGCATATGCGAGACAGTTTATATAAAATAGGTATTAAAACTCTTATAAGTGGTTAACAAATTGCTAATGATAATGAATCATATTAAATATATCAAATTTATTTATATCAAAATATTTAAATGAACATATTTTTATATGGAACCCGTTATTTTGTTTGATTCATTTACATGTAAAACGTACTGTATAGTGTATATCATGCAGCATTTACAAAAATTAAATTTATTGCCAGTAAACAAATTGGTCTATACGTACCGTATCATGGTCTACTCCACAGCGAAGCGCTTGACGAAAAGACTTTGGAAAGCAGCAAAACATGACATCAAATATTGGACATATCAGCCTGTAGTCTAACATGGTCGTGTCAGTGAACCCTGATAAAATGTTAAATGACATTTTAAAAATTCTGACCGCTAAAATGCCTTGTAAGTAAACATTCATACCGCATTCATTTGTTGTGAAATTTTAGCTGCTGCAAGCCTATAATTCAATCACTGAACTCATTTTCTAAATGCGAAACTAACCTGTAATAGCGCTGACAACCATACCAACCACCACAACCACCAGTACTCCAAAGCCACTGTACCACAGGTACGACAAGTTATACAGGCCATTCAGCGGGGGACTGAAACATAACATACCTCCCCAGTGAAATATGTATAATACTTTTCCCCTTACAAAATCAGTCAGGTCGTTACTATTTGTAAAAAAACATTGCTGGGAAGGTTTTGCAACAATTACGTAATTGGCTTTGTACAGAACGTGACTTAAAATATCGATTTAAATGGTCCATTTATACTAGGCTACCTTCATCCACTTCACTTTTCTTATTAAAAATGGCTATTTGACTTTCTTTGTTTGCTTTTTCATTTAATATTGGTACAGTGTAATAAAATGAGACAGCACTCAAACTGAAATATTACAAACAAACTTAAATGCGGATTATCTGCAGCCATTTCCTTGCAGGAGACAAACCTTACCAACGTCATCACGTCATAAGATTGGCACAGTATTGATGTTTATTCCACTTACTCATAAGGTGCTGCAGTGGGCATAGGTGTCACATTGATCATTACAGCTGTTGTCACATTGGAAACCGTTTCATTCACAGCGTTACAACCTAAGATGGATACAGGCGCTTTCCAGACGGCAGGTTTGTAAATCTGGGCGCCGATACCGATCCAGAAAGTGAGGAGAAGACTGGTGACAAGGCCGGTTATCGCACCCTGCAAATGCAAGAAGAACGGGAAATTTGGCTAAGTGTTTCGAAATTCTAAATGGCTATTTCCTTATCACTTAATCCTAAAAAGATGAATCATCATTCGCGTAGAGATAAATTTAAAGAAACAGTCTGAAAAATAACTTTGAATTCTCAAGAGATCTGTATAAGATTTGAAGAAAATATTTCCACATTTAAACTAAAGATGTAATAATTAACCAAGCATACTGTATTTCTTATGATGAACATCTATTACCTTTACNTAAATATATTATTATTATTATTATTATTATTATTATCTGTCGATGACGTATGTGCACTTTTACCCTGTATTTGTAATGCTATAATTCTTTGAAAAATCTCATCCCATTGGACTGTAGCACGGTTGTGGAAATTTACAGATCTTTCATTTGATCTGTGGAGAGCACTGGGAAAGACTTTTGAACTTTTAAAAAATGTCAGTGTCAAATGCATGTCGGAATTTTATTCACCACTACCTGTATTCAACATAAATTTCACATAACATTTTGAATGTTACCATATCAATCGGTAATGAATCCTTGTTGATCAAGGTTTAAACTAAATTGCAATTAACTTAAATGCTAGGATTTGTATAGTTTTCAGTTAATATGTATATTAGCGAAATACCGACTTCCATTTTCCCTTGGGTCTCGGTGTCTCGTGTCTAATATGTCAATCAGAGGACATATTGCAGACACACTTCATGCTCGGCATTAAATATCAATTACATATACATTGTACCGCACACATGACTGGGGAAATATGACTTTCAATGCTGGAATAATTAAAGATCTGAAACAAATAAAATTTGAAAATAAAAAGACCGGCAATAGTATTAAACTTACTTATAAGGTGCCGCCGTCGGTATAAAGGCAACAGAACTGGCAATTGCTGTACTAGTAGTAACATTAGTCAAGGTTTCATTCAGCGGATTACAACCTTCAATGGATACAGGTGCTTTCCAGACGGCGGGTTTGTAAATCTGGGCGCCGATGCCGATCCAGAAAGTGAAGAGAAGACTGGTGACAAGGCCGGCTATCGCACCCTAGGAATGGGAAATGTCGATCAGAAATTGGCTTTTCTAAAAGGCAATTTAAAATCTGGCCTGAATAAAAAACATGTTGATATTTACTAAAAGAACCCTTTTAAAGATATCTATTCATCATTATTCTGTTTTTAAACATTGGGTTCCAGAATATTATAAAGATGGGGTAAAAGGCATTTGATTGTTCAATAACGACGACGTCAGCAAAGGGCCCCTACCCTACTTCCATTAAATCAAAGGATCCGTCCTAGATACCTTTTTATATTATGCTCAAATCAGGATACCTTACCTTCCAGTTAGCCCAAGGGAAAAGAACTCCCAGAGTGAAAACTCCTAGTAGAGGACCACCGATCATACCAAACAATGCAAGAGCTGCCTAGAACAAAGGCAGAAGCATCAAAACATGAATAGAGGTGATGGGAAAATACGAATGTCAACCCTGAACTTATGTTCTTCTTAAATCAATAAGAGTGGTACATGAGCATGTTCACTTTTTAAAAAGTCATATTTTCACTATACTGCTCTACTTCGCTTTATGAGAGAAACAATCCATTTACCTGCAGCACACCTCCTAATTGGGACGCTACAAACGTCAAACCAATTACTATACAACCGAATACAACAGCTGAAAATATATTTAAAAACCTAAAATCACTGTCAGGGAAATTACAGGACATACATTGTAAATATATGGTAAATACTTTAAACGGATGTTTAGATTAGGCACAACAAATTTGACGTTATCGCTAGCAAATGCAACTTTGTACATGTTCGTATAGTGTAATTTCAAACCAAAATGTGGAATATTTCTTTCCCTACAAAAAATCTTTGTAAGCGTTCAAGAATATTTACGTACACATAATCTTAGACGTAAAAGTCGCCCTACTGTCAGGCATCTCTTTACAGCAGAATTCCTGGAACAGATCACGTGTCCAGACCGTGGCCAGGCTGTTCAGTCCGGACGATAGGGTGCTATGGAAATGTAAATTGTAAATGAATGGGCCTTATGTCCCACACGGGACGAAGAGGAATGATGATGATGATGGGTGGTGTTTGTCTAACATGTATACTGGTATCTCATGATCAGGGCAGGGTAGTCACTTACAGGTTCAAAGGGGCATTTATGAGAACATATACATGCCATTTTTATAGTTGCATGAAACCGTGCCCAGCGAATTTAGACTAAAATGGTTTTAAAATGCCCCCGCCACCCATATTCCCCCACATTAAAACCCACAGTTCTGAAACGTTATATATGGATTAAAACGATAAAAAAATGTTTATATTCTTCTTGCTTTCTACCAAGTACCTCATATTCTTACTTAGAACCATATTCTAATTTACTTCATGATAACATTGTCGTATTCAAATGTATTTTTAGATAAGAGCTATATTTACTCTAACTTAGAGCGATTAAAACTAACGGGTCCTTCTTCCTACCTGAGCGCTCCGCTGAAGAGGCAGGCAGTAAAGAGGCCAGGTAAACCAGGTACGAAGGCTAGCTTGTCCATCACGAACAGCGGCAGCAGCTGAAGCATAAAATATGAAATAGTTATGAAATAGAAGCATGCGCCTCAGTTCCCGTTGAAGAGTCGACAAGCAGGCGAATGCAGACAAAACAGGACGGTCTGGAGAAGTCAGGAACAGCAGCAAAAAGAAGCTTAGGAAGCGTGGTCTACATTTTCTCAAAATAGAATTAAGTACATACCTGTACCTTATACTCACTGCAAAACATGCAATTTGATTTGTGCCCTCCTAGAAATTTATTTATTTTTGTTTATTCATTTATTTATCTAAGTCTTGAAAAAACTATTTAGTTTTTCTGCCGCCACATTCTGAACAATTTGGTGTAATGTTTCGTGTTTATGTCCACCGCGTAGGTCCACCACGTCTGCATGGTTTTCGACACATCCGTGAAATAATGCATTTACCTGATCCTGGTTGGTGATGTCTTTATTTGTCATTGGGTCACAGTCGAAGTAGTGGGCATAGATCAGGATACCGGACATGGCGCTGATGATCAGAATGGCGATCAAACCTGGCGCGTTTATCCACATGGCTCTAGAAAAAATCCCATGGTATACCTGCATGTATTTTTGTTTGTTTGTAGGCCTTTCTGGCAAATAAATATGGCAAATACCTGTAATTCCATGTAAAATGAAAGAGAAGAGATATCTAGAACTGACCAATGTGTGTGAATCGAATGTTTAAGTGTGTTCGTTTTCCGTTTTCCAGTTTAAAACTAGATGGTGTCTATGGGTGACCATCGGATATCAATGCACTTCCTCACATTGCAATGATGAAAAGAATTAAGAACCAAAGACCCCCAGGGACAGTTCTACCCCAGGATGCAATAAAATTGCAATGTGTCCATGTACATCCCTGATGATAGGTCTATCGATCCCCAAAATTTCATTTTCCGAACATTTCATTGTCTATGATTAGAAATCACTAACGCACAGACGAACAGACTCGCTTACTTTCGGGATAACATGAACCCCGACTTTTGTCCCCAAAGTGCGGGGATAATAATCAACTGCGGAAACTTGAAGTGAAATCTTACATCTGTGCTCTCTTGAGGTCGACCACTGTGAGAGCTCTCTGTACCTGAGCCTGGTTGACACCGTACACAGACAGCCAGGTAAAGAACCCACCAAACACACATGTCCACACTGTGTGCCGCTCACGGGGATCTGGGTTGAAGCTGAAATGTTATTTTGAATTTTACCCATGTGGTTCTATTAAATGTCTCCGCCATGGAGTTCATGTATTCCCGTCTGTTTGTCACCAGCCTAACTCAAAAAGTTATGGATGAATTTTGATGAATTTTTAAAAGGATTCTTCACCATTGCGAGACAGGGCCAATGGCCTTGATTTGTTGGGCAATGCATGTGCTAATTCTCAACTACCACAATTTTTAAAACTACGATCATTGGCGGAGGTCTCAGGTCTCTGGGTACATTTCCAGTAAAATTAAGAACAGTATCAAAATCTCGATAACATATCTATATATTGCAGCTTTAATTAATATTTAAGTATGTATTTCAGTCAACCACTTGTCAATTAATTAATTTCTTCTTTTTGAATATCTGAATTTAGATATAATACTTTTCTTTTACTCAAGGAAGTTTATTCGGCCTCCTTTTATGTTAATTTCCCAAGCGTTCCGAAATCCCCCTAATTCCAAGGATCCCTGAATGACTACAGCAAGCATTCCGGCTACCATCATGAAAACTTGGAATGTATCTGTCCACATGACTGCTTTCATACCACCCTGAGGAAAAACACAACCGGATAATTACACCCGGCACTATTATTTTTTCAGTTCGCTACTTGTCTTCTTTATTTTGTCACTTGAACAACGGTATGTTATAGTTAAACTTGTGTATTATGATTAAGACACTGGACTGTCACCTCCCTTTCTAAAAAACTCACAAAAATTCAGCATTACCTCTGCCTTCTTGATAATTTATTTTGCTACGCCCCTTTTACTTTAAAAACATTTTATACTTATTTTCATTAATAAAAATATAAAATATATTTTACATCTACTAAAACCGGAAATAATTTTACTTACAATGCTGGTGTAGAAAACACAGACGACGCCAACTGAACAGACAGCAATCCAGCGGTTTAAACCGGTCACTGAAATCAACACAGATTACGATTAGGGGCACAACTGAGGACTTAGCTGTTCATTTTTTAAAAAACTTATTTGTACAGATGCTGTGACCGGGCAGGGTCACTTCAGTTGATCATTTTGTCAGGCGTTTCAATAATACCTTAAAGCACACAACGAACGTTTGGCCTTGACTTTTTTGGGGGTGGGGGTCCACATATGCACTTTAACTAGGTGTCTACCTTAAACTTACCTTGTTCTAACGCCAACGAAGGTGCATACAGAACTATCGCCATGTAAAGAATCTGAAAAAAGGTTGTCCTTTAACATCGTGAAACGGTTATTATACTATTATACATGTATTAAAGGTAAAGCATTTCAAAAGTTAGCCTTTAATTTTTTTCATAACGGTTAGTCGTTGAAAACTTGATTCATTTCTGAATTCATGGAGTTTTAAAATTGAAATGCACTACTTCAGAATATCACTTACTTCGTATACAATGTGCAGCAAGTAAAATCAACCAGTCCTTAACAGAACCCGAAACGAAATGTGTCGCGCCAAAATATGTACGTCTGTTACCGCCAAAACAGGTAAATGTACGCCCGATGATAAATACTTATGAAAAACAGCATATTTCGAGGTTGTTCGTAAAGTTTTGCTTCAAAACGTCTTTGACAGACAGACATTAATTAAGACGTAAGGAGAACGATTTAATTATTGTGCACACCAAATCCGGAGTCTTCAGACACTGCAAACATGGTCATCTTTACCACGTTATACTTTTGAGCCATCTGAGACGTACCAAATTTGACAATGTGCACACTGTATATTTGCAGGTCAGATGCACATCTAGGCCAACTTATCAAGGCTGGGGGTTACATGGCTAATTGTTGAGTATGAAGACTGATAAATATTCCTTTACAACTTGTTTCGGCCGTACAGTTATTTTTTTTCAATTTTTTCGTTACGTTTCAAAAGGCTTCTAATTACATACTGAACAAATCTGTCTGCGCAATCTGCATGCACCAGTGCAATTGACACTGCGTATGTATGCTGTTGTCGTTTTTAAAAGAATATCTCAATTCTTCAACTCAGATCAAGTTTTGCAGTACAATGTTCGTTTGCATGTTTGTTTTTTCGAAAGAAAGGGAAAAGTCATAAATGCTAACTCACCATCTGCAGGCTGAACGTTAGTGATCCGGCTACACGCACGGCTTTGTTGAAACGCATTTCGAGATACTAGAAAAGATATACGATTTAAAGCTATGAGTTTCATATAATTTCTGAAGTACTATATGCAGAGCCGGGTTAATTAAATTCGTTCTGTTCGCGATTGTCAATTGTGTGGCATCAGATGGGAAATTGTCTTATCCATTGAAAGGTTATCGAGAAAAAAACTATGATACGGTTGAAGTAATGCCAAAATGTTTTTCTTTTTCACATTTCACTGGACGTACCTCATATGCGCTGGTAATCTTTAGTCGGAAAAATATGGGGAGAAAGATGTGCGCGGCCACGGGGATGACCAATAAGTAGCCAAAGGCTATCCACAGGTACTGCGTTCCATATACGTACATCTCTTTAGGCGTCCCTAGCAACGTTATGGCGGACATGAAACTGGCCAGCAAAGACATGGCTGCGGGTATTGCCCCCATCTGTCTGTTGGCCATCAAAAATTCGGTGGTCGTTCTCTGACGTCCGCCAGTGAACGCCTGGTATATACCTATGCTGGCAGAGACAACCAAAGTCCCAGCAAACACCACGTAGTCCACGGGTCCGAAAGTGTTCACCTGAGCCTGCGGCATGTTGAATACTGGCTGGTCTTTTGCTGAAGATATGGAAAAATATCTACATTTATCAATAAAGTATATATACGCATTGGTACACAAATGATTCTTTCTAGATGTTAAATTTTAATGGACAATTAAATTTTTTAACAGTGAAACATAAGAGCTACGTGCAGGTTGGATCATATTCCTCTTTCAACCGTGATATGTCTCTCCAACATTTTAGATAAATCCGATGGCTGTCAGTCCTTTTTTTTTTACTCACAAGAAAACATCACCGTCTTGACACTTGTTAATATTTGACTTTCTATTTTCAAATTATCTTTCTATGATTCTTTTAACATTCAAAGCAAAAATGGTGCTGATAGGAGCTTATCATAATTAATGCAATTTTAATTATATAAACACTTCATATTTAAAATATAAGAATTATTCAAAAGTTTTTGGGCAGTGGTGGACATTTTGAAATATGTTCTAGCCATAATACATGTATGTAAGTGGCCATACCGTACCGGTACGTGTACATTTAGATAAACTATAAACCTTGTTTTAAGATAACAGCAACATCTTGACAAAGGATTAGAGTGTTTAAAACAAACAAGCTTTACATTTTAAATCATTGAACTCTGCTCTCCCCCCCCCCCCCTTTATACACTGTACATACTAGTAGGCCTAGATGTTGCTCACCTACATACGTGTAGGTGAGCAACATCTACACGTATGTAGGTGAGCAACATCTAGGCCTACTAGTATGTTGCTCACCTACATACGTGTGCCAAGGGATCGGGTCATTCACTTCAATGAAATAGCCCTTCTATTCTCCCCCTCTTGAAATGCATTCATTTACAAGAAACCCAATAGTCAACTATATGTAGATAGTTGATATACATGTATGCGTGCTATCAACTGCAGATCTAAGATGGGGTGCAGTGCCCCACTCCCAGTTTCAGACATACCCACTTCCCCCTTCAAAATCAACATTAGGCCTACATTCAAAAGAGGCAAAATTAAGTCATAGGCGCGCGCGTGTGTGTGTGTGTGTGTGCGTGTGCGTGTGCGTGAGTAAAATCAACAGGATAAAATGGCATTTCTAAGGTTATGAATAACAATAAGATTAAACCACTTCTATCAAAGGTGCGCGCCCGATATCAACAAGCGAACCACTTCATATATACCCGTGTCAACACACTCGCCTTTACACACCGACATGTGTTTACTGCCAAGAACGACGTAAATTTCATTACATAACATGCTGTTGCAGATCAATATGTGTGCTTTAACACAGTATGGTCCCTTGAACTGATGCATCAACATTGCCATATATAATATGAGTTATCAATGCAAAAATTGCCGTGTATACAGAGTCAGAAATAATATTTGATTGATCATTATATATTACATAAAATATTAATAATGAAACTAAAAACACAACAATTATTCTTTAAAAATCGCGGGAAGAGTCGTCACTATCTAGGGAGAAGGGGTACCTAGAGGACCCCCTTATATCTGGTATCATCCAGTCCATACTATGTTTCACAAAATTGAAGTAGTTTTGTGAAACAGGACCCATATATACAGGGTGTGACAAAACTATTGCAACGTCTGTATAATTACTGCGCTATATGACATGGGGGACCCGTTCGTAAAAAGTGATTTGCGGTTTATTGCTCAGGTAACCCCCGTGATGAATTTTTATCCATGTACACTATGAAGGGTGTCATTGTAGGTGTAACCTCCCTCTGGCTGTCAAGTTCCTACCAAGGTGAAGTACATGTAACGAGAGCTCACAGACGAAGAAAGAAAAGAAATTGTTTCCCTGAGGGGAGATAGTATAAATGTCCCTCAGATAGCCGCCAGATATGGTATGTCTGGTCAGCCTGTATATCGGGTTTGCAGAAGGATGGAGGACACTGGTGATGCCCATAAGTCAACAAAAAATGGCAGCCCAAACTAGTGCCAGAGACAAGGTTTAAGAGATTTAAACCGTGCAGCGAATCAGCTTTGCAATGGTTGCTTTATTTGTAGGTTGAAGTAAGCAAAATATTGAGATCACGCGGCCATCTTCAAATTATTAATACTGACATAATAACATGCGTTATGTTAGGACAAAGCATTGGTCTGAAAACTTGTAGTAAAGATACTAACTTGAAATGCCCAGTTTTCAATAAAATACTATTTGAAAAACTTAAGAAACCCAGCTGTTGTTCACCTTCAGGCAAAATGGTGCAACACTTTTGTAACCCCTGTACATGTATCACAACACCTGAAGAAATCTCAGTTTTGCATCATACCGACCAAAATATTAACACTTTCCAAAAGTACTTTCAAATGATACGAAATGCAAAGCGCGTCTTTTGAGAATAAGACGAAATCTCATTCCAAGGTGCCAATATGCCACTGTATATGTACACGTGTATCTACGATCATGAAAGATGTTGTACCGTACAATGACAGAACAAATGACACTACGAACACTTGCGTATCAATTTATAGTCCTACCGTCTCTTCATGTTACCTTACCAGTGTGCTGTGCTGGCTCCCGTAAGGGTCAATAATGATAAGATAACCTCAGTTGAGGTTTTACTCTGTCTCACGCCTACCCAGAAGCTACTCCCTGACGACAGGTTGCGCTAGTAGTCTGTTACATAATTTTTGTATTGCAGGTACTCTCATTTTGTATACCATTGTAAAAGCTTCTGATATCAGAGGGTACCAAGAAGCATGATCGGTACGTGAAGTCAAATGAAAGTCCAAGAATTGGGTGAATCGTGTATTTTAATGAATCCTTGTACCAGCTCATGAAAAGGAGGTTTCTGCTTGAGACAATTTGGAGATTTCGAATTCCTAGAAATCAAGAAAAGTCTCCGTGATACCTGTACACATGTCCCAGGGGCTCGGCTATGTTAACAAAATATTGAGCAAACAGTGAGAATATGTGAAAGACTTGACCCACTTTCATACAATTCACGATGTTTTCGGATTGGCAATACGGTCTTATATTGGCTTTGTTGTCACATCGGCAATAAGGAGATGTAAATTTATGTTCTCTTTGTACGCTGCATGATGAGTCCGTAAAATGAAAAGCATCTAAAATGTTTATATCAAGTTAAATTAACACTGACCGTAATACCGATTTTTACAGTATTTCTCATATGTCCCAACAGTTTAAATTGCATTTTTATTCGAAACAATGCACTAAGATGTCTATTAAATCCCATATGACAACTATGACAAGTCTAAAACTGTCCCTAATTACACGAATTTAATTCTTTAAAAATGAACACAACAGAAATTGACATTTTCATAATGAATATATTTTTACATAAAATGTTTTGATAAAACATTTGACATCTTACACAATGAGACTTATTTTTATGATCATCTTGCAACAAAGTCCGTGCTTCGCGTTTTCAATATGTTCAGAGAAGTTGCACAATCATGAAATGATTGAATTTTGTTTTTCATGTTAAAAAAAAGAAGTACGGCTTACGTTTTTCACACGATCATTGGTGATGTTTGTAATGCTAACAATCTTCTTATTTACTAACAAAAATAAATAGATGCGTGTTTACTCTTACGTTTTCAACTCTCCAAGTGTGCCATAAAATAATGAAGTAATAAAATTTCTTTATAGCACACTTAATGTATTCAATATACGTAATTGTTTCGTTAACTGCCTCATCAAATAAAAGCGATCTCCAATGCACTATACTAACATAACAAACTTGGTCGGTTATACATGTACATGCACTATATGATCGTCTCTGAGTAACACTGGTGTTTGGTTATACGAATATCTTTAAATCATAATATACAAAGTATGCGCATGCATTGTGGACAGTTGTTTTACTGTCTACCTGAGCCTTGAGAGATTACCCTGAGATAAATTTGAATGCATTATATTCAATATACCACGGTAAGTAGGAGTAAAGTAATTTTCTTCAAACAACAGCTAATATAAAATTTGTTTACCTTGTCTATATTTTGATGTCTGTCTAGAGCATCTTCATCAAGAAATATTGGAGGTTAACAATTTCAATATCAGCTGCTGATTGAAAAAATGTAACGTCACGTGAAATTCTTATCCAAAATAAGTACGGCTTTGATGATCAGATTATATTTGGGTCTCTTTCTTTAAATCTAAAGCATTGTCATTTTTTATTCCATTAGTCTGATTGGCCTCCAGCTCTTTCGTTTTCATGGCTTCATTGTCAAAACCGTCATCTTTAGTTTCACCAAGTTCGGCAGCGGTGATAGCTTCAGCTGAGATGTCTTCTTTGTCCACGTCTTTACATACACAGCAATAATGAAATTTGGTCTAGAATAAAACGGACTTATTGGCATGACACGTGCAAGACAGGTGCAAGACAGTTTATATAAAATAGGTATTAAAACTCTTATAAGTAGTTAACAAATTGCCGATGATAATGAATCATATTAAATCAAATTTATTTATATCAAATATTAAAATAGGCATATTTTCATATGAAACACGTTATTTAGTTTGATTCATTTACATGTAAAACGTACTGTATATCAGGCAGCATTTACGAAAATTAAATTTAATGCCAGTAAACAAATCGGTCTGTACGTACCGTATCATGGTGTACTCCACAGCGAAGCGCTTGACGAAAAGACTTTGGAAAGCAGCAAAACATGACATCAAATATTGGACATATCAGCCTGTAGTCTAACATGGTCGTGTCAGTGAACCCTGATAAAATGTTAAATGACATTTTAAAAATTCTGACCGCTAAAATGCCTCGTAAGTAAACATTCATACCGCATTCATTTGTTGTGAAATTTTAGCTGCTGCAAGCCTATAATTCTATCACTGAACTCATTTTCTATATGCGAAACTAACCTGTAATGGCGCTGACAACCATTCCAACCACCACAACCACCAGTACTCCAAAACCACTGTACCACAGGTACGACAAGTTGTACAGGCCATTCAGCGGGGGACTGAAACATAATATACCTCCACAGTGAAATATAATATTTTTTTCCCCTTACAAAATCAGTCAGGTCGTTACTATTTGTAGAAAAACATTGCTGGGAAGGTTTTGCAACAATTACGTAATTGGCTTTGAACAGAACGTGACTTAAAATATCGATTTAAATGGTCCATTTATACTAGGCTACCTTCATCCACTTTACTTTTCTTATTAAAAAAGGCTATTTCTCTTTTTTGTTTGCTTCTTTATTTATTATTGGTACAGCGTAATAAAATGAGACTGCACTCAAACTAAAATATTACAATCAAACTTAAATGTGGATTATCTGCAGCCATTTCTTTGCAGGAAACAAACGTTACCAACGTCATCTATGATTGGCACAGTATTGATAAATGTTTATTCCACTTACTCATAAGGTGCTGCCGTGGTCATAGGTGTCACATTGATCATAACAGCAGTTGTCATATTGGAAACCGTTTCATTCACAGCATTACAACCTAAGATGGATACAGGCGCTTTCCAGACGGCGGGTTTGTAGATCTGGGCGCCGATACCGATCCAGAAGGTGAGGAGAAGACTGGTGACAAGACCGGTTATCGCACCCTGCGAATGCATGAAGAACGGGAAATTTGGCTAAGCGTTTCGAAATTATAAATGGCTATTTCCTTATCACTTAATCCCAAAAAGATGAATCATCATTCGCGTAAAGATAAATTTAAAGAAATAGCCTGAAAAATAACTTCGATTTGTCAAGAGATCTCAGATCTATTTTCACATTTATACTAAAGCATGTAATAATTAACCAACCATACTGTATTTCTTATGATGAAAATCTGTCAAGTTTCATTTCGTTACCCAAACGATCACCACAAACCGTATTCTACAATGTGCCTTACCTTCCAGTTAGCCCAAGGAAAAAGAACTCCCAGAGTAAACACTCCTAGTAGAGGACCACCGATCATACCAAACAACGCAAGAGCAGCCTAGAACAAAGTTAAAATGTTCGCCATCTGCTGTGTTACGAATTACATGTAGGTCTCTGTTAAAGTAAGGATACTTGCTTCAACTGAAAAATACAATGATAAATGTATCACATCTAATTTTTTTGCATTTTAAATGAACGCGACCGGGTTTTCCAAACTGGTGAAGCAAGATGTTGGCAAGAACTTACTACATGTTACTTACTTACTTACCTGCAGCACACCCCCTAACTGAGACGCCACGAATGTCAAGCCGATTACGATACAACCGAATACCAAAGCTGAAAGAAGACATACTTGTAGAATGAGATAAACACCATTTTTATTGAAATAATATATAAGTTTTAAAGGATTTTTTATTTTCTTTATAGTTGCTGATCAGAAATTAAACATAAGACAAGCGATGCTAAATAATGCAAAGTTCTCAATTTTCTTAAACAAGATTTCGGACCGGAAATGAGTTTAAAGGTGTCGTAAGAGTCTACATTTTGCTTGAGGGAGGTTTTCTTACACATGATTTTAGACGTCAAAGTCGCTCTACTGTCGGACATATGTTTACAGCAGAATTCCTGGAACAGATCACGCGTGCAGACTGTTGCCAAACTGTTCAGACCAGACGATAAGGTGCTGAAATGAAATTGAATGAATGTTCATGTATCTGTTGGCAGTTTTAGTCGAGAGTGCTCTACATGTACATACAGTTAAACTGTACAGTGAGCACTGAGACGGGAAAATAGCATATTAAAATACAGGAAGAAACTACCGGTATAATATTTAAAATCTAAAACAAAATAAGGAATTTTGATAGGGTGTGCAACCGGGACTATAACCTCACCTTGCTATATCATTTTGATTCATTTATGTTGGATTTTAAAATGAAGGTTGTACCTGAGCGCTCCGCTGAAGAGGCAGGCAGTGAAAAGGCCAGGTAAACCAGGCACGAAGGCCAGTTTATCCATCACGAACAGCGGCAGTAACTGAAGCATAAAATGTATCATATATATCCCTCTTAAAAGACACTTATATCGATCCACATGTAGGAAACGTATTGTTATTGTTTTAGGCGTACACTATCAAGGATTAAATTTAGTACAAGTACCATGGTTACATAGAAACCACGTATAAATATGTATAAAAAGTTCAGTGTGCTAAAATAATTTATCTGATGTTAAAATATTTTACCTGATCTAAATTAGAAATGTCTTTATTTGTCATTGGGTCACAGTCGAAGTAGTGGGCATAGATCAGTATACCGGACATGGCGCTGATGATCAAAATGGCGATCAGACCTGGCACGTTTATCCACATGGCTCTAAGAAATGCACATAGTAAGCGTTTATCCAATATTTTAAAAACTATCTATTCATTGCACGCATTGAACGTATCTGACAAATAGCTAACACCCACGCCATACTTTTTTTGTTTGAATGTTACTCGTTTACTGTCTGAAAATAATTCCACAGTAACAGAGAACAACAACTTCCCTCATACCTTAATATCAAGTCGAGTTTTAATCCTACTGTTAGCCGTACCAAAACTCTACTTACATCTGGGCTCTCCTGAGGTCGACCACTGTGAGTGCTCTCTGTACCTGAGCCTGGTTAACACCGTACACAGCCAACCAGGTAAAGAACCCGCCAAATACACACGTCCACACTGTATGCCGCTCACGGGGATCTGGGTTAAAACTGGAATATAAATTATAATATATCTAAAGCTGCTATATAAAGAACATTATCATACTTAAATTTCCTGTACTACTTTACTTTAATTGCATTTTAACGTATTATTCCAAGTATCATTGAACTTCACAAAAAATGGAATATCTGTAAAATTTATCAGTGACGTAAATTTCACGTTTTAATCTTCTTTCTGTCTTACTCGAGGAAATTTATTCTCTCTCCTTCAATGTTAATTCTCCAAGCGTTCTCGAATCCTCCGACTCCTATGGATCCCTGGATGAGCACAGCTAGCAGTCCGGCAAACATCATACAGACTTGGAATGTGTCTGTCCACATTACAGCTTTGATCCCGCCCTAAAATGGGTAGTTTATTCATTCGAGATTCATTATTTGTTTATATCATTTAAAGGATGCGTGCGGTAAGACCGCCTTCTTTTAAAACTGAGGGGATGGTTGTTTAATTTACAGATCAGGAAAGTAAAATTCTCCTTTTAGGAAGCGTATTTCCGCATCAATTTTCATTTGTTTTATCTATTCATTTTACTGGGCCAATTTACTTATCTATATTTTTCAGTTATCCATTTTTGAAACAATTCACATATCCCCTTTTTCTTAAATACAATTTCAAAAATTTATCTTCAAAGGCTTTAAAGAAAACAATTTAACCGGCAAATAAATTTAAGTGTAACAGTACCAAAAATATTTATAAACATTATATATGTTCACGTTAAAACGAATTACTTACAATACTGGTATAGAAGACGCAGACGACGCCAACTGAAGCAACGGCAATCCAGCGATTCAAACCAGTCACTAAAATGAATAAAGTTTATGGAGAGATTTGAAACGTATGACTTCATTGCTCTCTTTTTGTTTGAAACTTTTTATAAACAGGCTGTATTTTAAACGTTCATTAAGGTTGAAACAAGTTATTTGGTGGCCCAGTTGCTTAAAACTGTAATCGGGTACCTACCTTGTTCTAATGCTAAAGACGGTGCGTATAAAACTATTGCCATATATAGGATCTGAAAAAAAGGGTATTTCATATTGAATTGCTTATTGACAAGGGTAGCATTATAACTCTTATATCTTATTAAACATATTGCTTTCAATTCCATTTAATAACACCGAAATATTTTTCGGAAAGTTTTCCTTTGTTTTTTTCCCAAAAATCAACAGAGAGCTTATGCCTTATCATTCTCTGTGAGTTAATGTTAGTCAACGGAAGTACATGTACGTTAAACAAACTGTGAGAGGCACGTGTATAAAATAAGACAAAAACACTTTAAAACAATCACTGATTCAACCGTATATATACATGGGATCTTTCCTAATTTTGGAATCGTTTTGGCTCTGTGAGGAACAAGGTAACATTGTATTAGTTGAGCCAGCAGAAGACTTAGAACAAGGTAACATTGTATTAGTTGAGCCAGCAGAAGACTAAGAACAAGGTAACATTGTATTAGCAAAGCCTGCAGAGACGAGTGGGGGAGGTACTACTTGTCCTCTACAGAATCATTGTATTCAGTGAACCTGCACGCTTATTATATGAGCAATTATGCAGTGATCCTTAGATTGTTTAGCTTAATTTGTAAAACATACTGTACATTATTCATTATTCTGCTTCCCTATTGAGATGCCCATGACCAGCAGTGAAACTTGCCCCTCATTATACGTGTTAAATTTTCATGAAGGTAGTAGGCTATATAAATTATTGGTGATTTAACGTTTGAATGACCAGCCTAGCGAACTAAATGTTTACTACTTCTATCGTTATTAAACAGCCTTGTGCAAAGACATTTCAAAAGAAGAGTTCATTCAGTGAACCGCCTACTATCAGAGGTGTATTGCAATATATGTAATACATTCTTGGTACTACGGATATGCAGATTACAGCGATGGAGTACGGCATTTAAGCTGCAACTAATCAAATTATGCTTTCAAGCATTTTGCAAAAACATAAAATAAGTGACGCACAGTTCATAAATATAATACTGACCATCTGTAGGCTGAAAGTGAGAGATCCGGCTACACGCACCGCTTTGTTGAAACGCATCTCGAGATACTAGAAAAGAAATAAGTAATATTGCTGAGTGGAGGCCCTGTAAGGTTGGTACATGTACAAAACAGTTACACTTTTTCTTCTATTTAAGAAAAAAATTAAGAACAAATAGCTACCGGTATTTTAAAGGGGTGTGATTTAAATAACGTTAAAATGAAATTTTCGCTTCGCTTCATTTTATCAGACCTACCTCGTAAGCACTGGTTACTCTTAATCGGAAGAATATTGGTAGAAATATGTGCGCAGCAACAGGCATGACTAAAACATAACCAAAGGCTATCCACAAATACTGAGTCCCGTAAACGTACATCTCTTTCGGAGTCCCTAGCAATGTTATGGCGGACATGAAACTGGCCAGCAAAGACATGGCTGCGGGTATTGCCCCCATCTTTCTGTTGGCCATCAAAAATTCATCTGTTGTTTTCTGACGTCCGCCGGTGAACGCCTGGTATATACCTATGCTGGCAGAGACAACCAAAGTCCCAGCAAACACCACGTAGTCCACGGGTCCGAAAGTGTTCACCTGAGCCTGCGGCATGTTGAATTCTGGTCTTTTGCTGAAGAAGTTTACTGATTAGATCTAAAAGAAAATCAAGACTAAATGTCTTAAACTGATTCTGTCTTTACACGCTTCGTAAACAGACATGTCCTTCATTGTAAGGTATTGGAATTGATATATGAACATATAGCCCATGTCACACATTTGCTTATATTTATAGTATTTATGAATTTTTTCAATACAAATTAAAAATTGCCAAGGTTTTCGATTATTCGGACTTGTGCAATTTTTTGCGTATAAATAAGCTTAAGTGGTATTTATGCAATTTTTATCGAAAAAAATCATAAGCAACGAATAAAGACTTCATATACGCGTGACAGCAGCTACGATGAACATCAGGGCATTTTGTCTGAGGAAGTCTCACTAGTTGCCTGAGATTCAGACCCGATGTGGATCAGTTTCCTAATATTTGATCGCCTTCACATGCCCGCTAATTGGTTTTAGTCTGATTACCGTGTAAATGCACGGTCATTTTCAAATGAAGATGGTCGGAATTGGCATTTAACGACAAACGTCTTTCCTAAGTTGTTAATTACAGTATTGGTGGGTGGGGAAACAGATGGATTAGATTGACTCTATGTGGTTAGAAATGCTTTAAGCAATCACCACAAGGTGACCCAAGGGTCTACTGGTATGGAAGGGACGTCACTTAATTATGCTTAGGGTACATGAACGTTTGGTGGGTTCTATGTACATGTAGATTAAGCTGAACTGCCTACGTAAGTGGTGAAGATTTTAGTGGCAAACGTTTGGATACTATTCCATATAGATAATAGAACAAGATATTTAGAGGTTCATTTCATACACTGAGACAATCACCCCCGTATCATTACTCAGGGGTGGGCCTTAACTTTGTTTTTGTATAACGTATATAGCATAACACTTAACGGATAGTTAGTTGCCAAGTGACATTCAGCGAAAATCCTTTATTCAAGTTGCACATACATGTACTCCTTCATTCAATTTAAGTTCCTTTTGCCTAATGCCGAATGGTTTCCCCTTACTTTGATTGGCGATCCATTAACCTTGTTTTGCATAGAGCACAGAAACCTATTCCAAGTATATTTACTCGTTTATATGCTGAAGGTGAGGGGCGTTTATTTTACCAAGTTACGTGAGAAGTTATGTGTCATTACGCGACGCGTTAAGCTGATAAGTATGAAATAGAAGATTGGACGTACTAGTTTGTACCGCAATATTCTCACTCTACCTTAAGCTATCTTCGCATTACTGCCCGCCTCTACCGTCCCTTGCATTTCAAAACTCCACACAAAATAAATGCACCTTCACCTCCATATGTGTATAGTCCCCAGCAGGCCGCACTTGCGTGTAAGCAAAAGATTACACAGTGGCTGCACATCTATTCTACAATACAAATACATACAGCCTGCCGTCCGACTAAGCGTACGACTCGTCTATATATGACATAATAAAACACATGCCAAAAGTGGTCCTTGTGACGAAATTCTAAATTTAGAAATGCAGTCGCTTTAATACAGCAACGCATTGTCAGTAATAATGAGTTTTGCTTTAACTGTGAAATAAATGGTGATGCTTACTCGGTATTTCAGACACGATAGACGAACGTTATCAGTAAGTTTCCACTGTCTTTTGATCAGCCGAGTGGTCAGTTAATGTCCCACAGCACACAACGGGTCGGTGTTGTACTCAATAATATTCAGGAAGCTTGTACAGCATACTCAGGTCCAGGTGTGGTAGAACTATGGGCCATGTTTAGATTCCCCACTGATGAACGGTGGACATGAATTACCTGTATGATTAAATACGCTAAATGAATAAGTTGTACTCTTCTGTGTATATATATATAGCCGTAACGTAACTCAAAGGCAAAGATAGTTACCCCCTAACAGCTTTACTAGGCGTGACAAACATTTAAGCCGGTCAAGTTGACAGCAATTTAGTGAGACTCCCCAGGGAGATAGATCGATCCAAATATCTGTGGGAATGGTCCCTAACATTGATGCATGAATTTGATGTCGACAAAACTCCAACTCCAACTTGAAAGGGGTTAGAGTGGGCAAAAATCAAGTTGTTCCTCAAGCGGACGCAGGTCCAGAGTATCAATGGATGTTAAAGCAACTTAATTCCCCCTAATCGTCCGAGCCCATGAGCTATATAGCGGTGTTTACCTTTAGTATAGCCAGGCTTGTGGATATTTTGTATGTTTACCCGCGTGTGCACGCATACCACTCGTTTATGTATATGGTAGCTATTTACAATACCCTACGGTTCCCCCGACCTGCCTGGGTTTATTGAAGCACCGGTTAGTACTATATGCACATGAACAAGCGAGGTGGTTCGCCGACATTTTTTAATCAAAAGCAAAGTGCACAAACAAATATATGCACGGGTGCATGCAATAACAATGTGCTTATTTTTCCCAAGACGTTGATTAAGGCATAAATCTCGGTCGCAACCACTGTATATCGAGGGTTAGGTGATAATTGACCTGGACTGTATTGCAAACAGAAAGTAAAATTATAAAAAACGTGTGCGTTTTGCCCTAATGTTTTAAAAAGTTAAACATTAGGGCTTAGAACTCAATTATAACTCGATCTCTTAATATTATAGTAGCTTAGATTTAGTACAGTGTATCTCTGTGGGTATTGCAGATGCTTTAGAACTCACCTGTATTCTTTACGACGGTATGAGCCAGAGAAACTTGAGTTTTACATGCATGATTACGGGTGTCTCTAAAACGAAGAATTGATCAGATTGTGGTGCCACTGTTTATATGCAGGTCACAGTTTTTGAAAATGGCTTGGTTTCCTTTCGTTTCGCTCGTTATAATATTGTATTATGGAAGAAGGGAAAAGGGGGTGCCCCCAGACTAAGGGGGGGGGGGGGGAGGAGAGTAGAGACCCATTCAGTGAGCCGTTCCCCGGATCAACCATCGCTGTCACAGCTATAAAACACATCTTCGAAGATGCCCTGAAATGAAAAATTGTCTATCATATTTCAATAACTTATTTATTGCTCGTAACTCTCTCTCCCTCATTCTCTCGCTCTCTCTCTCTCTTTTAGTGGAAGGAAAAGAAAGCACGGTAACAATTGGAACCAAGCCTAAAAAGCGAAAGAGGAAAACATTAACTTGTGCTCTGACAGTGTGTGATGCTGATGGCATCTTTTATCAATATCTGAGATTTAATATTTTCTTGACAAATTTTTGTTCATTTTTATGATTTATTAGTGTCTACTGAATAAATAAATGGGACAATGTAAGCCATCGCGATAAAATACAAAATACAAAAACGGCAGATCCGTGATGCAATAGAAAATGGATATATCGACTGTTTTTGCGTTTTCCAATATTAAAAAGTGAAATACATTTAAAATGCCTCACCTTCGCTTCAAGTTTTGATGAAGGACTTGGACAAAGTTCCTTTTTTTCGATTCAAAATTGAAAAAAAAAAAAACGGAAGTCCGTTCGTTTTTCTGATTGTCATTTTAGAAATTAAAGTGGTAAATCGGAAGTACAGATACACACACAAAGCAATGGCGTCTGGCAAGTTTGTATAAGAACTAAACTCCCATATCAAAAAAGTGTCACTCCTAACGCAATGAGTAAATTGATGCAGAAAATCATGTCATAAACCATTGTGCTTTATTCAACTTGTAAAGAGTTTTTTTTCACAAAAATTACTGATTGTACAACAAATGAATAAGCTAACCATAGTGAAAAAAATAAATAAAGACACATTTTGGAATTTTGTACAGTATCCCGTGGATTGGAGGACGCACTTCTCGCGATTGGAGTCAAAAAGTTTTGTAACGATTTCCAAGCCACTGACAATGTAATATCTACGGTTGTCATATATTTTAGTTCAATAGCTGATCTAACCCTATTGTTTGTCTTTAAGACATGTATGGCTTAAAAAGGCTTCCAACTACTGTAGTTTTTTTCTTTTTAAATCAAAAAGCCAGTTAAAACTAGACCGGGTATCTGACCAGAGGGGCTGCAGGTAGCCTGTTACGCAACGCTGCACTGGCTGGAGAACAAAAACGTCATTATATCTATTTTCTAATTACTCAAATATACTTTAAACCTCTCACCAAATGTTGCGTCATCACTAAAAGACTTTGATGAACACTCGCAAAATATCACGACTCAGATACGTGGCCCCCATCGCCACAGTATCATTACCCCCCCACATCGGTATCTGGATAATTATTTTAATTTCTTTAAATTGGATGGACCTTTGTAGGATTGAATAAAATTTTTATGGGTTCTTTTTTGTGGGGGTGGGGGGGGGGGCACCCTGTACATCTCCCAGGGGACAGCTTGGCTAGATTAAAACAATGAATCCAAGTGCAGGGAAGCATCTAGCAATTCTGCTCTTTACCCTAGAAATAATGTTGGTTCCTAGCTTTGTGTAAGAGCATGTCAAAATCACAAATACAACAAAAACGTTTATTTTATTAAAATATATATTTCAAAGCACTTTCATCGATATAGATAATTATATAATATTCAACACATATATGGAAGCTCACAGAATACGTTGTATTAAAACAAGCACGCTTTTTTTTTTTATCAAACTCACATAACAGAGTCTGGCAGCACAGAGCGTTACGTTCACATAAGCTGCAAAATTGTCAAAACTCTACTTAAATACCATACTTTAGATTTCGAGGTACATGCATTCCACCTTACATCACACTTGGGAACATGTGTATACTAAAAACTATACTAAAAACACTTGAATATGATACTGTAACACTGCTCTACAGTTTTGTTTTGTCCTGTCTCCGATTAATGTTAAATCTTGTTTTACGAGATATATCAAAAGTTAATGCTTAGATTAACGAGAAGAGATTAAAGGACCATGTGCTTCTTGCTTGTGTATAGATGAATGACGTTTTTATCGGCTATTGATAAAACGAACATACCTGTTCCAAGGCTGTAAGTATTGAATATACGATTTAAGATGTTTAAGAAGGCATGCAGTTTCGGTAAGGACTGTGCACCTTAAACGTATCGTGTGTTTATCGCGTTTTGCACACTCTATAAGCAGATAATTAGATAAAACAGACAAATTTAAGAATAAAAAATAAATCATAAAATATGATCATAAACTTTTAAAGAAAGCTTTAACATATATTTACAAAACGGCCATTCATTAGAGATATACTTTTCGTTCACTCATCCTATTAACAGGGGGATGTCGCAATATTTACAATCGGGTAAACTGCTTCAGTTGTACTCCGTCTACATTTCCATTTTGCTGGTGCTCTAAGTCATAGACGTGGCCATTTTTATTGCCCGTGCCATATTCCTCGGTCTCCTTTTCCACAGCAGGATTATCAATACCATTGTGATGTTTGTGTTCCTCCTCTGGGACTCCGAATGACGTAATGGGATCTGGATGGAAGTCCTCTTTGTCCACGTCTTTACAAAGACAGCAGTAGTGCAACTTTTCCTGTAAAATATATATTCAGCTATAGTCAATATTTGGCACCTTCATATAAGGGTGTTTCTGTCTGAACGTTCATCTCGTCTTTCAGGAGAGCAAAATATTGTTATTATGGATATTTATTGAATTTTAAAATAACATACTGCTTGTGTACAGTAGTATGTTTTATCCATGTTTTTATGTAAAAAATATATATATTCTTGTAATAAAATACAATTAAAGAAGCTGTAAAGCATTTTAAAAGTTCTCATTGATGAAATTTTTTTCATGTAGAATCAACCCTTCTGTGATAAGATTAATACTTTGTTATTCAACCATACACTGACCAAATCATGGCCCACTCCACAGCGGAGAGCTCTCAGGCAGGACTTTGGAAAGCAGCAAAACATGATATCAAATATTGGACATATCAGCCTGTAGTCTAACATGGTCGTGTCAGTGAATCCTTTGGAAAAAATGTAAAAATCCTTGTGAATTAAATATTATTTTCTCAGTTCATTCATCACACAGCAAACTAGTGTTATTCGTAGCTTACCCCTTTCTTTGTATGCATTTATCATCCATTGCTTTCAACATTCGATCATTCTAGTATTTAATTCAATAGTCAGTTTCCATTTCAAACGATGAGTCTGATCAGAGAAACGTTTTCAAATAATGTCATTTACACTGAAGTAACTAAAATCACTCTATTTCATATTTCCAATGCTGGTGTTTGTCGTCCATAAAACAACCAGTATCTGCAGTACCGTATTAGGGATAGGCCTACGGCATTTACCGCTAGTGACATATACTGTATACCCAAATACTAGTACAATACAAACCTGTGATAGCACTGACCAGCATTCCAACCACCACAACCACCAGTACTCCAAAGCCACTGTACCACAGGTACGACAAGTTGTACAGGCCGTTCAGCGGGGGCCTGAAAATACAAGGTACTCAGTTCGCTAGAGATTTTTCCATTTTTACATGTAACTAGTCTTCACTTCTATTTTAAAAGCCAAAAATTCTCCACACCATCCAAGGTGGAGTAATGAATTTAAGTTTGCAACAAAATGGGGTTTACTGAACTAATACAGCAAAGTTTAACAAATAAAAATTTTATCGAAACCCATCGGACTGAACAGGGTTTAATTCCCTGGTCTGAACTAGGACGAATATGAATCATATTATCTGTCCACTAATTAAACAGCAACGAACATCAACTATACTGGAGTTTTGATACACATTTTCGTATTCATGAATACACTGTAAATGGTTTACGACGTCGACTCACTCATAAGCAGGCATGGTTGTGGTCATCATAGTGGTCATGTCGCTGACCGAGCTGGACATGGACGCAGCAGTGGTTGTAAGGTTGACCAGACTGCTGTTCACTGGGTAACAACCGGCCACAGACACGGGGGCCGTCCACACCACCGGTTTGTAAATCTGGGCGCCAATGCCAATCCAAAAGGTGAGTATAAGGCCAGTCAACAGCCCACTAATTGCGCCCTAAAGGAAATAAAATAAACTGGAACTCTCCCAAAGTCATTTAGCGATGTCTAATTCAAATATTTCCTTAATTCTTTTCTTTTTTATTTCTTTTCTGTTCACTCTTTTTTCTTACATTTAAAATGATATACGAGTCGGTGGTATTTTCAGTCCTTACGGTAAATGCTAGATATGCAGATATGCTAAATTATGCTAAAGAGGTGATAACGAAGAGGTAACTCTGTCTGGTATTGAAGCTCACATCAAGCCACATAGATTGATCAACATTGAGCGTCTTACCTTCCAATTGGCCCATGGAAACAAGACCCCCAGGNATATATATTCAGCTATAGTCAATATTTGGCACCTTCATATAAGGGTGTTTCTGTCTGAACGTTCATCTCGTCTTTCAGGAGAGCAAAATATTGTTATTATGGATATTTATTGAATTTTAAAATAACATACTGCTTGTGTACAGTAGTATGTTTTATCCATGTTTTTATGTAAAAAATATATATATTCTTGTAATAAAATACAATTAAAGAAGCTGTAAAGCATTTTAAAAGTTCTCATTGATGAAATTTTTTTCATGTAGAATCAACCCTTCTGTGATAAGATTAATACTTTGTTATTCAACCATACACTGACCAAATCATGGCCCACTCCACAGCGGAGAGCTCTCAGGCAGGACTTTGGAAAGCAGCAAAACATGATATCAAATATTGGACATATCAGCCTGTAGTCTAACATGGTCGTGTCAGTGAATCCTTTGGAAAAAATGTAAAAATCCTTGTGAATTAAATATTATTTTCTCAGTTCATTCATCACACAGCAAACTAGTGTTATTCGTAGCTTACCCCTTTCTTTGTATGCATTTATCATCCATTGCTTTCAACATTCGATCATTCTAGTATTTAATTCAATAGTCAGTTTCCATTTCAAACGATGAGTCTGATCAGAGAAACGTTTTCAAATAATGTCATTTACACTGAAGTAACTAAAATCACTCTATTTCATATTTCCAATGCTGGTGTTTGTCGTCCATAAAACAACCAGTATCTGCAGTACCGTATTAGGGATAGGCCTACGGCATTTACCGCTAGTGACATATATACCCAAATACTAGTACAATACAAACCTGTGATAGCACTGACCAGCATTCCAACCATCACAACCACCAGTACTCCAAAGCCACTGTACCACAGGTACGACAAGTTGTACAGGCCGTTCAGCGGGGGCCTGAAAATACAAGGTACTCAGTTCGCTAGAGATTTTTCCATTTTTACATGTAACTAGTCTTCACTTCTATTTTAAAAGCCAAAAATTCTCCACACCATCCAAGGTGGAGTAATGAATTTAAGTTTGCAACAAAATGGGGTTTACTGAACTAATACAGCAAAGTTTAACAAATAAAAATTTTATCGAAACCCATCGGACTGAACAGGGTTTAATTCCCTGGTCTGAACTAGGACGAATATGAATCATATTATCTGTCCACTAATTAAACAGCAACGAACATCAACTATACTGGAGTTTTGATACACATTTTCGTATTCATGAATACACTGTAAATGGTTTACGACGTCGACTCACTCATAAGCAGGCATGGTTGTGGTCATCATAGTGGTCATGTCGCTGACCGAGCTGGACATGGACGCAGCAGTGGTTGTAAGGTTGACCAGACTGCTGTTCACTGGGTAACAACCGGCCACAGACACGGGGGCCGTCCACACCACCGGTTTGTAAATCTGGGCGCCAATGCCAATCCAAAAGGTGAGTATAAGGCCAGTCAACAGCCCACTAATTGCGCCCTAAAGGAAATAAAATAAACTGGAACTCTCCCAAAGTCATTTAGCGATGTCTAATTCAAATATTTCCTTAATTCTTTTCTTTTTTATTTCTTTTCTGTTCACTCTTTTTTCTTACATTTAAAATGATATACGAGTCGGTGGTATTTTCAGTCCTTACGGTAAATGCTAGATATGCAGATATGCTAAATTATGCTAAAGAGGTGATAACGAAGAGGTAACTCTGTCTGGTATTGAAGCTCACATCAAGCCACATAGATTGATCAACATTGAGCGTCTTACCTTCCAATTGGCCCATGGAAACAAGACCCCCAGGGTAAATACACCCAAAAGTGGACCGCCGATCATTCCAAACAGCGCCAGGGCAGCCTGAAACCGGTCAATAGTACTATTATTAAATGGATAACAACTCTTCATGTCAGATTTAAAATTCCACAATAAATACATTGTAATTAAAACATACAAGTATAATTAAATCCATTTTACCAACAAAAAAGGCGGTTGTAGCAATTATTTTGGAATCTGTGCTTGTCATCGGACCACGTCGAGCTACACAGATGGCTACACTCCGTAATTATCTCTTAAGAGATTCTTACAAAAGCCAGGCTTAAAAAAAAAAAACAATCGACTAACTTTGAACTTTGGAACAGATTCCATGACCATTGGAAAATATGGAAATTTTTATGGCACTTTTCCCGTCAAAATGAAGAGTGGTAATCCCTTTAAATTTGGGTGACCACTGTACAAGTATGCCACCAGTATTACATTTACGCGCCTATCAGTCGTGGTACATGTACACATTCTTATTCGTGGATAAAGACTATGCGTTGAGGAATTTAAGACAAGATATTGGGCATTTGCAAGGGGGAGGAAGTATTGCTAATCTGTAAAAGAGGCTATTATGTTTTTGCTTGTCATTTGTGTTTCTTATTTTACTTTATTCTGAAAATAACGTGCTTTCACGCTAATATTTTCACGACAAGACACGTGGTATATATGTGCTGTCTAAGTTTAGGGTACTGCTGATTGCATTTAAACGTAGGCTACAAGCCCAAATCATTAAAGGTGAATGACTTATCTGAAAGATAATGACTTGATGCTAGCGCTATTAATTTATAGTTCCAATTTTCTTAATTTGGAGGCGGAGACTGGTCGATTTAACCTTAGAAAGAAAACTGGATAATAAATTATACATTTCTCAACAGTATTGAATAAGATACATGTGCACCCTTATTATTAGGGCTGTCATACTTGACAAAGCATACCTGGAGTACACCTCCAAGCTGTGACGCCACAAATGTCAAGCCTATCATTATTAACCCGAAAACCGCAGCTGTAAGGGAAAGTAGTCTCATGTATACCAGCACATTTTAGTAGGTCTTATAAACTGATTACTGTACATGATATTGTGCTCTCTATATTTCCTAAAATGATTGACTAACACGATTGTAACGGCAACGAGATGTTGGTACCAAGGACCAAATTGTCAATCTCGTTATTACTACTGTGGTATTACAGAGCCATGCATAACAACATATAAAATGCCCTCTTTAGTATTTTCTTTCTCAGACACCGGCTGTTTTTAAACTATTAAATTCAGTTACATAAATGACACCTTAAATTACATGTACTACATGTACCCTATATAGTGCATACGCAAGATAACGTAATACGTATCCATGGTACCATCTCAAAGTAACTTTATTTAATAATTTACATATCTAGATCGTCAATATGGTTTAACCAACATACACATTATTTTGGACAACAGCGTCGCTCTGGCGTCGGACATGTTCTTGCAGCAAAATTCCTGGAACAAGTCACGTGTGAAAACCGTGGCCAGGCTGTTCAGACCGGAAGACAACGTACTGAAGATAATGAAATAATAAATATGTGAAAAATATTCTAACAAAATGTCTCAGCAGTCTGTTGTATGTTATTATTATTATATTTATATTGCTGCATTAGTATTATTTCAAAACAGAACACAAGTACCTAAGCGCTCCGCTGAAGAGGCAGGCAGTGAAGAGGCCAGGCAGACCAGGCACGAAGGCTAGCTTGTCCAATACGAACAGCGGCAGTAGCTGTCAAACACGTGTAGATGAAAAAAATAATTCCAGTTAAGAGATATGGTATCAGATACACGTATAAGAGATATGATATCAGATATACGTGGTACTATACCAGTAAAACATCTCAGGTAATGAAAATAACTACAGCATTGCAGTGAATAAAATATTAAAAACATACACCTACTGTACATCAAATGGTAATTAACGCATGAAGCTGGTTAAATCAACTTTCATTTTTATAAAAGCCTTACATTTTTCGAAAAGGGTTTACGCGAGATTGAATACTATAACAGGCATCATCATTATACCTGATCTTGATTGGAAATGTCTTTATTTGTCATTGGGTCACAGTCAAAGTAGTGGGCATAGATCAGGATACCGGACATGGCGCTGATGATCAGAATGGCGATCAATCCCGGTGCGTTAATCCACATGGCTCTAGGAGGTTAAAATTACTCTGTTGTACAAGACATGCATACTAAGTATCGTTGCGTCGACGGGCTACATTTTAGTTTTATTACCACCTGTTGAGCTCAACGTGTGATCTCAAATGAAGATGTTATAAGATAATGTACAGATAATGAGAGAACATTCCAGAAGAGATTCTCGTTCGGAATACGATAATGGTATGGCTTCTTTAAATCACAAATCATCTCTGACACATTTGAGACCAATAAATAATGGTAAATGATGCACTTACATCTGGGCTCTCCTGAGGTCGACCACTGTTAGAGCTCTCTGTACCTGAGCCTGGTTAACACCGTACACAGCCAGCCAGGTAAAGAACCCGCCAAATACACACGTCCAAACTGTATGCCGCTCACGGGGATCTGGGTTAAAACTGAAAGGCCAAAGGTATAGAGAATAGGATATAGGGAAACACGAGTTCCGCCCCTTAAGTGCTACCTGATTTTATTAACATTTGTGACTTATGTTGTAATCATTTACAAGCTCTGCCCATGTATACGATAAATACTCGTACATCTCAAACGATTCTATCACATGGTCATACAAATAGAAAATCTAATCAGCCTTACTCGAGAAAGTTTATTCTGTTCCCGTCTATGTTAATTTTCCAAGCATTCTGGAATCCTCCTAATTCCAGGGATCCTTGAATAAGCACAGCCAGAAGCCCAGCAAACATCATGCAGATCTGGAAGGTGTCAGTCCACATGACGGCCTTGATGCCGCCCTATGGGATAAAACAATAGCAGTAACTCTTAATGAACACGGTCACAAAAAATTGCCTTTGCATCCTTTATTACTAAGTTGGTTTTCACCCAATATTGAACTTATTCATGTAGATTAATGCACCAAGCTATGATCATTTTGGTACAGTAGAATGGCCGAGTTCACTAACGGTTACATACTAGTGATGCCTTAGTGAACATAATTTTTATGCAAAGTGACCAAAAGAAAAAAGATCATGCACAAACTTAAAATTAAAAGTCCAACAATTTTTTTGAAATATGACGGACCTTTGTTGTATTTCATAAAATTTTATGGGTTCTGTTTTTTTTTTTTTTTTTTTTTTTTTTTTTTTTTTTTTTTTTTTTTTTTTTGTTTGCTTGTTTGTTTTTTCTTTTTCTCCCCCCCTTTTTTTGCGGGGTGGGGGGTTCATCCTAAATAAATAAAACTGCGATCATCACGTAATATTATTTGAGGAGCAGGTTAAAAAAAGACTGAATGAAAATTGTGAAATGAAATAACTTGAAAAGTGACAAAAATGAATAAAAAGTTAGGTAAACGGGAAAATCGAAACATTTTTACCGACAAACATCAATGCTTCCTTTATCCTAGCTACCTATTTAGGTGTTCGGACCCTAGATATATAATAGAGACTTCTATTTTAACCTGGGTTTCGTCGCTGTTTTCATAAAATGATAACAAAATAACACTCGTATTCAAGTCACGTTGACTTGTTATTCGGTACACTGCCGTCACTACTTGAAAGGAACGAAGTCAATTTTCAAAAAAATTATTGTTTAACTGTAAACACCTGCTTTCAATACTAGCAATATAATTCTAGTGTTTAGACCATATACATTATTTAAAAATTAGGTGAGGTAGGTACGAATGTTTTAATGGACGTCTTAAACTTCTCTGCTTTCGTCATATAGGTAAGGCGCATTCTTTGTTTGACCGAATTCTTGAGACGCGGCTCTGTTGACATCGAACGCTGCCTGCCTTTCACAAGCCCATAGCATCATTATTAAGTCCCCATTATATGATCAACACTTGTTTACTTGTTGTCTTTAAAGATGTTTTTCCCAATGATGTTTCTAAAAAAGCCTGATGTTATATCAAAACGGGTCACCTTCAAACGAACAAAGAACTACCAGTATGCTCTAGTGAATGTGAATGTGAGTGGAACACGGAAGAAAGCATGTTATCACTGTGTGGTGACGTTATTTAAAAGTACTCAAATTCAGTTTACCGCTGTAACCTTATTTGAGTACACAGATTTGCGTGGTGCGTATTATTTAGGCCACATGAATTAAGCAGTTCTAAGTATGGCACTCTTGTGTGTGGTGTGAATATTGAAACTAAAAGTGAAAACAACACTTACTATACTCGTGTAAAAAATGCAGACAATTCCCACGGAACACACAGCAATCCAACGATTAAGACCGGTGACTAGAATTGCAACAGAAACAATATCATGCTATATTACTCACACTAGTTATGGGAGAGATAACTGATGCCAAGACAATATTTCACAGCAACTTTCAACAGTTCAAATATAAAGTTTTCAATACAATGGTGAAATACATCCAAAATACAACATAAGACAAATTCAATTAGGGATAAAAATGGTATACCGTAAAATGTTTACCATAATGAATAATGATAGTAACTGAGTAGTTTGACAGATACCTTGTTCAAGTGCCAGAGACGGTGCATACAAAACAATCGCCATGTACAGAATCTGAAATATGCAGTATTGCATTGAAAGTTAATGAAATGACAATTAATTTAACCTTACAATTACCTTCAGCAACGCAGAGAAAGTTAACAATTCTTTTCGAAAAAGATTAAAAAATAAAAAAAAATTGTAAAATTACCTCTAGATAAATCACACAAAGCAATTTTTTCCATTATTATTATAATTTTTTAATAACTAACCATCTGCAGGCTGAAAGTGAGTGATCCGGCAACACGCACCACCTTGTTGAAACGCATCTCGAGATACTAGAAAAGATGACACTTATTAAGTACTTTACTATGAAATTTCATCCTTTTAATACTGTACTTTTCGACAGATTTAAACCTCTTCCAGGTAGATATTCGGTGTATTGAGTGTCAAGAGTAGTAGAAATTGGTAATATGGTCAAATAATTTTAAAAAACGATGCAAAAAAAAAAAAAAAAAAAACACCTAAAGGGGGTCCCACACGACACTTCATTATGATTATATACATTGTGAATTTAGTGTCAAGCTTGGTAAAATTCCAAAAATGGGTTTAAATTTGCGCTATATACAGCGTTTTGAATGTATGGGAGGTTTAAATGTTGAAATGGGTCTACAACGGATTTCATCAGTTATGCATAGAATTTAGGCTTGCAGTAATACATGTATTGTAAAACTGTTGTAGAAAAATTCTGCGTTTTAGTAGTTTTGAAATAAGTCTGAACGTGAAACGTTTTCAAAACCTGTTATCATGTACATATTTCATGTTTACTATATACTCCTTTTGCTTCCAGAAAACGTAACAAGAACATAATATCCTCCCTAATGTAACGTCAAGTCACATTAACAGCAACAGTTTTGGTTTCCATGACCTCGTAATGTGCTTTGAGAGTATCGTTGCCTTTTTTAAAAGTTCGTCAACTTTTTGATCAAGCGTGAGGCCCGGGGGCGTCAAATTGACAATGGCTCTGTGTTATGTAATTTTGGGAGTGGTTTCCTAAGTAAAACACAAGTCACACAGGGGATACGTTATGTGCAGAAATTATGAAATAAGTAAATTGTTATAACTCCCCTTTTACATAAAAAATAAATCTTGAGCTCACCTCATAAGCGCTTGTCACCTTAAGCCGAAAAAATATCGGCAAGAATAAGTGCGCGGCCACGGGGATGACCAATAAGTAGCCAAAGGCTATCCACAGGTACTGCGTTCCATATACGTACATCTCTTTCGGAGTCCCTAGCAATGTTATGGCGGACATGAAACTGGCCAGCAAGGACATGGCTGCGGGTATTGCCCCCATCTTTCTGTTGGCCATCAAAAATTCATCTGTTGTTCTCTGATGACCGCCGGTGAACGCCTGGTATATACCTATGCTGGCAGAGACAACCAAAGTCCCAGCAAACACCACGTAGTCCACGGGTCCAAAAGTGTTCACCTGAGCCCGCGGCATTGTGAATAATGTCTAAATATCTGCAAAGAAAAGAAGTCAAGAGAAATGGCGACAACCTGAATTACAAATTTTTCTTGTGTTTTGTTATTTAGACAGAATAGAAGTATATTCAGCGTCTGAGCTATTAGGCCGACTTATTGACAAAGTCCTATTAGCATTTTTTTAAATCACATCACCCACTATGAATCGAATAATTAATCTCCACCACACCAACTCATACTTTACGTCACAATGTTGTCGTCAGTTCGTTCTTATATCACGAATTATACGAACATACGCATACATAGCTGTGCTAGTTACTCTATCAATATAAAATTCTGAATAAAAAATGTGCTACTTTGTGGTACAGAAAACCCAGTCTGAACTCACTTTTTCATTCTTTCAGGTATTGTGTGGTTACGTAAAGACTTTATAAGACCTGTCTATGTAGGTAGTTTACTAGCACTACAGGCTAACTGGGTGATGACATGCGCCTTCATANAGATGAGGTAGGTACGGATGTTTTAATGGACGTCTTAAACTTCTCTGCTTTCGTCATATAGGTAAGGCGCATTCTTTGTTTGACCGAATTCTTGAGACGTGGCTCTGTTGACATCGAACGCTGCCTGCCTTTCACAAGCCCATAGCATCATTATTAAGTCCCCATTATATGATCAACACTTGTTTACTTGTTGTCTTTAAAGATGTTTTTCCCAATGATGTTTCTAAAATAGCCTGATGTTATATCAAAACGGGTCACCTTCAAACGAACAAAGAACTACCAGTATGCTCTAGTGAATGTGAATGTGAGTGGAACACGGAAGAAAGCATGTTATCACTGTGTGGTGACGTTATTTAAAAGTACTCAAATTCAGTTTACCGCTGTAACCTTTTTTGAGTACACAGATTTGCGTGGTGCGTGTTATTTAGGCCACATGAATTAAGCAGTTCTAAGTATGGCACTCTTGTGTGTGGTGTGAATATTGAAACTAAAAGTGAAAACAACACTTACTATACTCGTGTAAAAAATGCAGACAATTCCCACGGAACACACAGCAATCCAACGATTAAGACCGGTGACTAGAATTGCAACAGAAACAATATCATGCTATTGTTTACTCACACTAGTTATGGGAGAGATAACTAATGCCAAGACAATATTTCACAGCAACTTTCAACAGTTCAAATATAAAGTTTTTAATACAATGGTGAAATACATCCAAAATACAACATAAGACAAATTCAATTAGGGATAAAAATGGTATACCGTAAAATGTTTACCATAATGAATAATGATAGTAACTGAGTAGTTTGCCAGATACCTTGTTCAAGCGCCAGAGACGGTGCATACAAAACAATCGCCATGTACAGAATCTGAAATATGCAGTATTGCATTGAAAGTTAATGAAATGACAATTAATTTAACCTTACAATTACCTTCAGCAACGCAGAGAAAGTTAACAATTCTTTTCGAAAAAGATTAAAAAATAAAAATAAAAAAATTGTAAAATTACCTCTACATAAATCACACAAAGCAATTTTTTCCATTATTATTATAATTTTTTTTATAACTAACCATCTGCAGGCTGAAAGTGAGTGATCCGGCAACACGCACCACCTTGTTGAAACGCATCTCGAGATACTAGAAAATATGACACTTATTTAGTACTTTACTATGAAATTTCATCCTTTTAATACTGTACTTTTCGATAGATTTAAACCTCTTCCAGGTAGATATTCGGTGTATTGAGTGTCAAGAGTAGTAGAAATTGATAATATGGTCAAATAATTTTAACAAATGATGCTATAAAAACCACCAAAAGGACGCCCCATACGACACTTCATTATGATTATATACATTGTGAATTTAGTGTCAAGCTTGGTAAAATTCCAAAAATGGGTTTAAATTTGCGCTATATACAGCGTTTTGAATGTATGGGAGGTTTAAATGTTGAAATGGGTCTACAACGGATTTCATCAGTTATGTATAGAATTTAGGCTTGCAGTAATACATGTATTGTAAAATTGTTGTAGAAAAATTCTGAGTTAGTAGTTTTGAAATAAGTCTGAACGTGAAACGTTTTCAAAACCTGTTATCATGTACATATTTCCTGTTTACTATATACTCCTTTTGCTTCCAGAAAACGTAACAAGAACATAATTTCCTCCCTAATGTAACGTCAAGTCACATTAACAGCAACATGACCTCGTAATGCGCTTTGAGAGTATCGTTGCCTTTTTTAAAAGTTCGTCAACTTTTTGATCAAGCGTGAGGCCCGGGGGCGTCAAATTGACAATGGCTCTGTGTTATGTAATTTTGGGAGTGGTTTCCTAAGTAAAACACAAATCACACAGGGGATACGTTATGTGCAGAAATTATGAAATAAGTAAATTGTTATAACTCCCCATTTACATAAAAAATACATCTTGAGCTCACCTCATAAGCGCTTGTCACCTTAAGCCGAAAAAATATCGGCAAGAATAAGTGCGCGGCCACGGGGATGACCAATAAGTAGCCAAAGGCTATCCACAGGTACTGCGTTCCATATACGTACATCTCTTTCGGCGTCCCTAGCAATGTTATGGCGGACATGAAACTGGCCAGCAAGGACATGGCTGCGGGTATTGCCCCCATCTTTCTGTTGGCCATCAAAAATTCATCTGTTGTTCTCTGATGACCGCCGGTGAACGCCTGGTATATACCTATGCTGGCAGAGACAACCAAAGTCCCAGCAAACACCACGTAGTCCACGGGTCCAAAAGTGTTCACCTGAGCTCGCGGCATTGTGAATAACGTCTAAATATCTGCAAAGAAAAGAAGGCAAGAGAAATGGCGACAACTTGAATTACAAATTTTTCTTGTGTTTTGTTATTTAGACAGAATAGAAGTATATACAGGGTATATGCAGTGTCTGAGCTATTAGGTCGACTTATTGACAAAGTCAGTTTGGCATATTTTTTATATCACATCACCCGCTATGGATCGAATAATTAATCTCCACCACACCAACGCATACTTAACGTCACAATGTTGTTGTCAGTTCGTTCTTAAATCACGAATTATACGATTATACGCATACATAGCTGTGCTAGTTACTTTATAAATATAAAATTCTGAATAAAAAGGTGTGCTAAATTGTGGTACAGAAACCCCAGTCTGAACTAACTGCGAACTATTTTATTCTTTCAGGTATTGTGTGGTTATATAAAGAATTTATAAGACCTGTCTATGTAGGTAGTTTACTAGCACTACAGGCTAATTGGGTGACGACATGCACCTTCATGGCACCTTCAGATAAAGCCCAATTCAGTTACTGAAAATGCCACGGAAATATCAGGAAAAAATAAGTCCTTGTCTTGAAAGCAAAAATAAGACATATAATATATACATGTATATTCTACCTTCAAAGTATCATATCCTAGATTACAAAATTCTAGTCTTTTTATCGAAAATAATCCAAACTTCTATGTTGACCCCACCTTGCTACCTCGTTTTAAAGAGACCCCCATCATTTCATACCCAAAATAACAAACACCTGTAAATTTAAATTGTGTAATTCTATCCCAAAACGATTCATCCATTAGATCCCTGGGTAAGACTTCAGTTGCACACCCCAGGCGTGATCATGATTGTTCGACACGGGTGACCTTCTTCCATAAAAACCGAATTGTCTGGGGGAACATTGTCAAAAATAACAACCACTTGTCTGGGACTAAAATTTGTAGCTTTGTCTCAAAATGTTTTACCGTCGCTAACACGTTTAGTATGCCAAGTATATATAATCCCATAATATGTGTTTTGGCGTCTCGTTGTAAAGGGCCCCATATAATCCTTGCACAACCTTAGTAAAAAATACAGGTGAACACTGAAGACTTAAGGGCTGCGGTGTGACATGCATTTTTTTCAATATTATGAACTGGAGATACATGTAAATGTTTTTTATGTCTATATGTATAGCGGAGAATATATTAGTTTTTTATGTTGGCGCTATATGTTACAGGACACGGTCTTTGGGTGGTGGTGGTGGCGGTGTGTGTGTGTGTGCGTGCGTGCGTGCTTGAGTGTGTGTGCGTGTGTGTTGTGTAGGGTAGTCCATGCACAACTGTATATTTAAAAGTAATGAGCCAGGCATCTGGAAAATGAAAACGGCGTTGATATATTGAAAGAATGACGCCGGAAGCCACCAAGAGAGAGGTCACTCCTTGCATGAATGCTGTGAACTCATTGACAACAAGGTGCGCTAGCAGTCTGCTACAAAATCATTGTACTATAATTTTGTGCACTATTTTAGAAGCCCCTTATATCGGAAGGTCAATGCTGTGACTGTGCGCATATTCAGGGCAAGATGTTTGATACAAGTACGGTAACAGACGTCCATGCAGCATACGCTGTAGAATAAGTAAACTTGAATAAAAACTTTTACCCTTCAAAATATACTAGTAAGTAACCTACTGGTACTGACAATTGACAAACATCAAAACTAATGGGATTGCTCTCCCTAACTGCAAACTTCGTAGGTACACCAGCAGTCAATATTAAATGGCCTGCAGGGAGTTTTATGAATGAAATAAACGTGTGTGAACAAACGTATGGAACAGTCGCCCGAAAACTCTACGTTCGTTATAGACCTGTACACAGTGGAAAGATGATTTTCCTGGGAAAAACCAAACCCTTTTCCTTCGTCACCAAAGTACACTAAATTAAAAACCGATGGCGGAATATCGATCTACTACCGGTTGTTTTAAATAAGTTTTGAGCCACTATCGTAATGGAGATAGGGGACTGGTGAAATCCACTGGTAACGACGAATAATAGCAGTTAAAAAGTCGAGAACGAGTTAGCATATCGTTATTTCTCAAAGGTTTTGGATAGGGTATACATGTGGAGGACACATTTGTTTAGAAACCGAAAACTATGTAGATAGGTTTTTTATTTAGGTTAAACTTTTAAAGCATATTATACAGTGTTTAATATGCAAAGCGAAGCAGATTGCACTAGAATACAAATAAAGATGTTACTATCACAAATCTGATAAGCAACTTCACTTACCGCTCGACCCAATGAATTTCTCAGATCTTAGATGCTGTCTGTCGTAAGTAAGGGACCTATACGCTGAAAATGTCGTATTGTAAATGTCCGCGCCTCGTAAATCCAGCTGGAATGATGCTCTCAATAATGACCAGAAACTATATCAAAAATACATGCTGAACAAGATCTATTAGGCTCAAATGGGGTTGCTCTACCAATCAACGATTGGAATAGAACTTCTGTTAGCCCAAATGAACACAAAATAGCCCAGCCCCTTCAGTGGTGACGTATTCTGCTTCCTTCAACCCAGCCAATTATTGACGTACAAGTTTACGTGACTATGGAGGTCAGCCACAGTGAAGTGAATGGAAGGTGTCTCAGTTAAAAAATAAACACACATATAAAAAAGAGAATGCGCCCACGGTAAGAAAAGGTAGTAAGACTAGTCACACCATACTGAGTAAATGACAACAATCTCCCATCCCTCTTTTGCATATACCTAGAGTGTAACGAAATATTCCTAAATCAGTTATATTTTCTGCTCATTTTTGTGTTATATTCCTGCGGTATATATATAGTGATATCTAATAGCTAATTTAATTCAGTGGCTGCTAAAGAAGCAATCGAGGGAGCATATTTAATATCATTTGCCATTGTTCACCTGTTTCAAGGCTAGTCTGTAATACGGTCAAATATAATAGTGTTATGATAATGCGAAAAGCAAAGTGCTCGTAAATTTGTACATGTGCTTGATGTAATAACTAGGCTCAACATCTAAAACTAAAACATTTTATAACAATAATAAGGCATCATGATATACAGTATGTATCAGAAAATGTCGGAAAACGCAAAATGTATTTGATGATATATAATCACTATACCGTCTAAATTTGGTAAGATTAACAAGAAAAGAGAAAGAAAAAAGGTAAAATACACGTAAAAGCATATGGCTTAAAACGGCCTGCTTAAAACATGTATTTGTCATCAAGATGTCGAGAAAAAACTCATTTTGCTATTTGAGCAATAGGAAATCTTCTCGCTCCCATCACTCTTAACGAAGTGCGTACATACATGTATCTCTCTAGATGTCCAGCATGTACGTACTTGTCCAATGTAGAAATCTCCAATTCCTGTTATATGTTAATTTTGAATTCGTATATAAATGGCTGAATAAACTCTTATCATGTATTATGATCGTTACTGTCCGAAATATTGAGATAATGTGATTGAGATGCCGAAGTGTTTGTTAGCCTCTCAAAACACAATTGTAAAATCTTTGCACAGCTAATACAATTCACCACCATAGTTACTGCATCTCAACATTAGGGCATTCAACAATGCAGGGAATTCCTTGTGCTGCCCACCGCCGTATAAGTGCGTATAGGAAAAGTGTTTTAAGAAAGGTTGTGATAGAAGTCACACTTGTATAGGAAAAAAATAAGTTTACCATATAATGGGCTGATTTACAAATAAAATAAGGATTTCTCATAGAAATATAAACTAGAAAAAAAATTAAGTGTATATGGTGTAAAAGCACACTTAAGTAAGTTACTTTAGGTTGATATTAAATATAACTGCTAATCCACTATGGCACCTGATTTTCACACGATAAAAATGAATCACGAAACTTGTCTACATTACTTGAGAAGATATGGACACTTTCAATTTTGGATACGGAACCAGCGTTGCTGGTCCTCAGTTAGCTTTTTTTCATGGATTGAAGATGGTTGCCGAGAACATTTCTTGTCATACATTTATGAGATGGTAAAGTAAGAGGTTCGTATTTCACATGGACCCGAGAATTCCGAAATTGACTTTTCCCCAAAAAGCGCATGCAAACCGAATAATTTGCGGAATAGGACTTTTCAGTAAAATTGTGCATTTGTATACGAAATATTAAAATTTTTCACGAAATTTTAGTTGTGTCTGGTAACATTGGTTTTAAAATAATTACCGAGGTACTCCTCCAAACTACACTGTACTTGAACCATTCATGTTTAACGAAATATTTTTACATGTAGCATCGCAGTTTGTAATAAACACATGGTAGAATAAGCGATATTCTCTTCACTTTCAACGGGCCAATAACTATCTTCATTTTTGCATAGACCAGTTGACTGTATTTTGTGTTGCTACATTTATATTTATAATCAGTAAATAGTTCTGTGCCTGTCCGTATGTTTTGATGCTTTGTTTATTTTGGTTGAAGAAGGTCGTAACCCGACGTTGTCAAGAAATGAGGTTATCTCTTCATAAAATACCGTATAGCTAAAAAAAAAAACACGACTATTGGTACACGTATGATCGATAACTGATTTAATTCTCGTAAGATTACCATCCGCCCCCTTCCTTATGAATAGGTATTACTTTATTAATACAATGCAACCGTCGTGTAGCCGCATGTTAGAAGACAATGTTTGATTACGCACAGCAGTAGGAGGCCGCTACCCCTTCCCAGCAAGGAGTNATAAGACTTTGATAAAATCAAAACCAATAATACTTTTAAAGTCGAGAGTCGGGATAAATATCGGCAAGGTGGAGATATGTCCCGCCGGCGCTTCCGCAACAGCAAGACTGAAGGACGCAAGTTACAAAGCAAAACATGTTTAGTCAAGTTATAGACTTAATTACCGGTTTAACTTCGGCGGCAGTGCCTACTGCTGTGAGCAACATGCGCTGTCCATCGTAATCCCCCTATCATTAACACTGTCGGGGACGTGCGCATTAGCGCGTCTGATGTAGACAGCGTGTGCTATTAAAGTGACCGGGGACTTATTAGCTATAGTGTAAGTACTTGTCAGTAGTGCCCAAGTTTCCTTACAAAAGGATTTTTTGACGTTAATGCCCATTTTGGCACCTGAAAACAAAGGAATCTGTTTTAACCCGACACACCCTGTCAATTAGGGCGTTTCTTTCAAAAGAAAAACATTCGTGCATTTTTTTTTTTTACTTTTTATAGAATGATGGCCTTTTTCTTAAATACCTGGATTCTCACATTATCTGTAATTGTAGTTTAAACCACTGGTCTTGAAATTATAGGTTGTTCATGTTTATCGGCACTGTTGTGGTTAGGAGTTCCTTCTACAGGGTAATTACAAGGGGAAGGTTGAATAAACATTTATTCTAGTGCTAGTCCAAGTTAAAAAAATCTTCAACAGATTTTGGCGGAAACCCAAAACGACTTTCCCACCTTGTCAAAATATCGCTAGTGGTTTGGTAGGTCTCCTTTATATTTTCCCATGAGCATTTTAAGATCAACGAAATATGTCGCTTACGTTTCGAAACAAAATTTTTACATCTTTTCGTATGTATAGTTTTGTACGTTTTCGAGGGAGTGCTTTCTTCATTTTATTTCATTTTTGTTGCTTAAGAAAAAAGTTCGAGCTAGAGAAGCACTAAGTCAGCTCAGACATTCACCAAGACACAGCTCCTTTCCCATTATTTATTAATTAATGATTGTAGAAATACCAAAAGTGAAATTTATAAATTTCCTCCCATAACTTTTGAGTTCGGCTGTTAAACTATATGTCACATTAGTCATAAATGCTCATACTGTAACTGTATAAGTGTAAAAGAAAAAAAAAAAGAAATCACGATCAAATCAAACACCCGAGGCACCACGTAACACGAAAAAAGACAGTTATTATGTGGTAAAAAAGATAATTATAAAAGTATAACCCGATTAAGATACAATACTGATTAAGATAAATTACCTTACATACCACTGGTTAATATTTTACATGTATAGATAAGTTTCCAATACACAACAACAGTTCATAATATTTTAAATTGTTGTTGGAAGCAGCCCAACTTAGGGAGCATTCACATCGAGAAGAGCCGAGGTCTAGTTAGGCCGCGACCTAAATATGGCGGACCTACATGAAAGGAAGACCGCTAATCCTGTTAATTCTCACCACTTGTCGTCGCTGCAGGAGCACAGTAATTAAATCTCAGCTCATTCAACCGGTCGAGGGACAACGCGTGGAGAGACCATTAAAAGATTAGTGGTCTTCCTTTGATGTAGGTCCGCGGCTTTACTAGACTTCGGCTCTTCTCGATGTGAATGCTCCCTTATTTATAGCATATTTGCGACTTTAAGTGAAGGTTCTAAATACATTAAAACCAATGAGTTCAACCAAAGTAAAGAGGCCTATATACTGAATGAAATGAAATCCTATAACCCTATTCATTTTATCCGCCGTTTGCCTGGATCATCGAAGTATATGTTACGATCGTCAAAGTAGCACTCTTTAAATGTCTTTCCGTGACTTAATTCGTTCAAATTCTTCTTTTTCGCATCTCATTAAATTATTTGGGTGCAACTACTCTGAAAAATGAAATATTTACGTGACAATACAAAAAATCAGATTCAGAATCCAGTTAAATAGTCCAGAACTTAATTATATGGGTAGATGATGATGATGATGATGATGATGATGATGAATGAGGAAGGTTAGGTGAAAGGTAAAAGCACACTGACAGACTTTGAACTTGAACTAATGAAATAGCTGTACGGCTAAGGTACGGCTTGATAAATGAGCTACATGTGTTCTTTGACAAAAAAAGGAAATAGTTTTATCACAAACGGTTATTTATTTACCCATTAACAACAACAATTGTCAAAGATAAATATAATATTATTAAAATAATGATAAAAAATGATATAAGCACCGACGATGGTGCTGATAATAACAAATTTAAAAAGAAATAAGTCTATCAGAAACATTAAATGATAGTTGACAAACCTCTCCATCAATATTAAGATACTATTCGTAATAAATGTTTGGCGTCTTTGAAATGGTTACAAACCAAATGTGACTGCACAATTTAATTTTTTTGAGATAACAGTGTGGAAATAGGTCATTTGTGCATCTTGCTTTTCTCTGCTCAAAACTTTATCATTGTGACTGAGATATAGAGCGATCATGTGAAGAATTTTTATCTCATATTCTGAGATGTTTTACAATATTCTATGAAACAGTTATCATCAAAACGCTTAGCTTTTTTTTACATTTACACATTTAGTATTATACTTAATTTTAAAATACAATGATAGAAGTAAGTACTTACAGAGTAAGGACCGGTGTTCAGCGTACAATAGCATTTGTTGTTACCACAGCAGCCTCTGTAGCGAAATGTGAAAAAAAACCAGCCGGTGGGGGGATATGCGTTGTTGCACAAAGTTGTGCAGGGATTCACACTGACAGCAGACTGCGGCAACGTGCCAAAGAAGTCTTCTTTAATGAGCTGAGAAGACGGGGAACAGCTATAAGGGGGCACTGAAATAAAATGATGAAGGATCATTCTTCATTCCTCAATCTTTAGTTTATCATCGGTGGTAGTAGTCTACATGACACACGCGCGCGCGCACACACACACACACACACACACACACACACACACACACACACACTATCTTACTTATTTGCATTAAGAGTTGACGCGAATAACAAACAGGTGTCGTTCAGAAACTAAATGTTTAACTTACTACCCGTTAACTTTCAAATATTATGCTTTAGACAAAGTCTGCCACGAAACGTTTGTTAATAAATTGGTCGGTTAAAAGAATTTCCTCCTACATTGTACCTGTAATTTGATTTTTTTAAAATTACAATTGCCGTAGAAATTAGTGTAAAGCTTTATTTTCAAACAAATATATACGTTAAAGGGATAATAACTCTTCGTATGAAATCTATATTTCACAATAAAAATATTGTGAATAACTCATAGAAATATAAAATATTCTGTTTTATGACGAAAACAGCAGTTATGGCTATTACTCTAAGGCTTCGTTCACATGCAATGTCTATTTTCTATTTTCTATTTTCTATTTTCGGTATGTCTTATGATCACGGTCTGTGCACTGAATATCCCGCAGCGTAATTACTGGCAGCGCGAGCCAGTTACTATAAGTTACTATAAGTAACTGGCTCGCGCTGCCAGTAATTACGCTGCGGGATATTCAGTGCACAGACCGTGATCATAAGACATACCGAAAATAGAAAATAGAAAATAGAAAATAGACATTGCATGTGAACGAAGCCT